GAAAATGCGCACCATCTGGCTCCACGAATTGTCTTGTAGCTGTACTATTGCAATTGATCAACTAATTCTATCAGACCATAATCTCCTTGCTATAAATTATTTAACATTTATTAATTGAATATATTTTAAAATGTTAAATTAATTTTAAACCTTTACTTTGCAAGAAACTTCTTCAGGTCTGCATTCTAGTCATATGTAAGAGAATTAGCATTAGATTCCCACCTTATCCCATAAATGTTTCTTTTGGTACTTGGTGTTCTCTTAAAAATGACTTGAAAGCAGCAGGCTCTCCTTTGTTGCTGTATCTGATATATGAAGACATTAACAATAGTGTCAACAGAGTTTCCCTTACCAGATTTAGCTTCCACATTCTGCTGCTTATCTAGAGTGGTAAGACACTCTTTGGCCTTAATTACCACCTTGCCCAGTGGGTTACACATTGCGATTCAGCTGGACAAATTGCATCTTCTTTTTGTTCTGCAATGCCTCCACTACACATGATTTGACTGGGGCCCTGTACTTAAGCTGGCTTTACATTTTTCCTGAAAAATACATTTTACTCGTGGTAAACTGCATGACATAACCATAGACTGACACTCACTCCTGTAATGAAGCAATGATGTGTCCAGAGTAATCTTCTGTTTTCCCACCACCAACTCTTGAATTCAAAAGCATATATAACTTTTCTGGGTTCTATGGAGGTAGAAAAAGTGTTCAGGTGTTTTTCAACCTTTGTAGTGTCATCAAAAGCTATACTGGCTGACCTGCAACTCTTAACATCATCAACAACCTGGATGAGAGACAACACTCCTTTTTCCTGAGCCATGAAAGAGAATTAGCATAGATTCCCACCATATCCCATACATGTTCCTTTTGGTACTTGGTGTTCTCTTAAAAATGACTTGAAAGCAGCAGGCTCTCCTTTGTTGCTGTATCTGATATATGAAGACATTAACAATAGTGTCAACAGAGTTTCCCTTACCAGATTAAGCTTCCACATTCTGCTGCTTATCTAGAGTGGTGAGACACTCTTTGGCCTTAATTACCACCTTGTCCAGTCAGCTGGATAAATTGCATCTCCTTTTTGTTCTGCAATGCCTCCACTACACATGATTTGACTGGGGCCCTGTCACTTAAGCTGGCTTTACATTTTTCCTGAAAAATACATTTTTACTGGTGGTAAACTGCATGACATAACCATAGACTGACACTCACGCCTGTAATGAAGCAATGATGTGTCCAGAGTAATCTTGTTTTCCCACCACCAACTCTTGAATTCGAAAGCATATATAACTTTTCTGGGTTCTATGGAGATAGAAAAAGTGTTCAGGTGTTTTTCAACCTTTGTAGTGGCATCCAAAGCAATACTGGCTGGCCTGCAACTCTGAACATCATCAACACCTTGGATGAGAGCCAACACTCCTTTTTCCTGAGCCATGAGGGCTGGGGCATGCATATTGGCTTCTCCGGTGAAAAAAACTTTGATTACATGGCTTTATTTCCTAAGTGCAGAATTTAATGGTCCTAAATTACTTACTAGATTTCCAGGTCTTGTTTTGTCATTGCTCCTGACTTGTAGTATTCCAATTAAACTTGGCCCTGGCCCAGCTTGCCGTCTACCACTCACGTTTAGGAGGATTTTCCTTTTTTTCTTTTGTTCCTTCAGTCATGATGTAGTGTGGTATTTCTCTTTTTTCTTGTAGAACGTCACTGTCCACGTGTCTGCCGTTTGTCCTTGCAATGATTTCCTTGTCAGCAAAGGCTTTTAATATGGTTTTAAACTAAGTTTGCAGTTTCATCACCACTCTGTCATACACTGCTGTTTTGAGCTGATACATTTTCTGCTGTTGTTTAATGGCTAATTAGTTTGCTGCATCCAATTGTCATTTTCTATCTTTTCATAGTCACACTTGATATCCAACATGATTGCAGTAAATAGGAAGGGCCATTTTTCAAATATTTGTACAGTTAAACAAATGGTTTTCAAAGTGGTCAGAGAAAAGTTGTATGTCATAATGATTAAATGTACCAGAATTTGTAACATTTTTGAGGACTGAAAAGAAAGCATGCAATCTATTATTTTCCTAATGTAAGAAAATTTGCATGACTTTAGCGAGTCATTTGTTACTGTAGAGAAACAAGTATGTAGACTCATTCAGTCAAATATAATAATTATATTTGTTTTGTTCATACCCAAAATGCCAAAGGCTTAAATAAATTATGAAGATTGGCATGTAATATAAAATGTTATATAAAAAAAATTATATATACAAGTTGCATTGCCATGTACGTCATATAAACAGCCTTAAAAATCAAGTGTTAATTTTACGGGTACATCAGCTTTGACATGCAATCTACACATTTCCTGACCTAGAAAGCAACAATATCCTCATCTTGTTTCCTGGGACAAGAGTATTCTTACTTGCATGGATTTCTGATGGTCTGCTAAGACAGAGTATTTGTTAATAGACCTCTGCAGAATATTATTTTATTATTTTCCCACTGCACTTCATCACTCTTGTAACTTTAGTCTTTCCTAATATTGAGGACTGCAACCTGTATGTGTCAGAATGTATGTTTAGCGAGTGGCCTATATGATCAGTAACCATCTTCAGCTCCTCTCCAGACATTAATCTATTTAGTCAGCTGATTATGTCAAAACTATTCCTTTCATTCAGTTGTCAGAATTTTAAAATAATGTGTGCTTTCTTTGGTTCTCGCCTGGTTGTTTCATTGAAGTCCTTGCCAGCATACAACTCTAAGAAAAAGACAGCGGCCGTCTGCTGTCTATAGGGTAAAAGGCAGTATCACATGATTTTGGTCACATTTTTGCAAAGGGTCCAGCATCTTGTATGCCGCCCTCATATCTGATAAAGACCACAAGTTGGTCAGTCACGCATGAACAGTTTTCCTAATCCTCCCTACCAGCTGGCGTATCTTTAAACAAATAATGTAATGCTGCTAGGGTCTGGGATGACCCCCCCCCCCCCCCAACCTGTGCTGTCTATGGCTGCTCTAAAGCCACACATGAACAGTTACTTTTTCTTAATCCTCCCTACCAGTTGGTGTATCTTTAAACAAATAATGTAATGCTGCTAGGGTCATGGACAACCCCCAACCTGTGCAGTCTATGGCTGCTCTAAAGCTGTTTTGCCAGGTGTGCAAGCCACATGAACCAATGTCAATTAATTTATTGCCACAATCATTAACAACTTTCTCCTGCAAGCACTTGAAGATTGCCCAATTGACATTGGGGCCATCCATTGAAATCTGTACTAAATTTTTTAATCTAACTTTCCCTTCAACTTAAGTTGTAAATGTTTCAAAAACATCAAAGGAACAGGAATGTCCCAGATATACCGAGTGGTACCTTTGTTTACATCCCACAACCTAGCATGTACATCAAGCTGTTTCTTCTGCAGTTCCTTGTTTAGGGATTTATCAAAAAGCAAAACAAATGGTTGGTCATGGGTTCTTTTTTCTAGAAGTGAGGCAAAATATGCAGCAATACCAAAGCATGTCAGGTACATTGCCTTGGTCTCTCCAAGATTTTTCACATCACAAGAAGGGGATATTTTTTTTAAACATGGCCACTTCTGATTGCGAGGAAAAGTGAGTAGTGGGAATCCACACATTTTAATGCCCATATGATCTCTGCATTTATCCTGTCTTTCTGAGAGCCCTGCTCCAATCTTTTGTAGTGAGCATCAGGCCACATCTAAGTTGACAAATCCTTTGTGACAAAATAGGTGAAAAATCTTGACACTATGTTTTAACTTATTGGTCCTTCCATAAAAAAAAAACTTTCTGCAACATACATTGTTTTAGAAACGCCTTTAAAATTATGTAGGTATGGTTAGAAAATCTACGGTTTTGGCACACAATTTAGTTCTTTTTTTTATTTTCCATTGAACAGTTTTTTTTTTATGAGGCCTTGTATCTTCTTTAAAGGTAATCTGTTATAATTCTTCTGACCTAACACAGTGGATTGGAGGCTTCTCTTGCTTTTTTCTTAAACTTTTTCTGTTACTTTTTGTTTGTTATATTACTTGAGCTTGGCATGAAATCTTTCCAGATAATCACTGCCAATAATCTTGTCAATAAATGAATATCCAGGTCTCACAGCTTTTCTTTAAATGATTCTTCTGAATTCAGCTAAAGAATTCTGTTCTTAAAGATGCACCCTGAATCCACCATAGTTCTTTTTGACTGCTCTAGAAAATATTTTCTGTTTGTTTGCCTTCAGTTGTGCAACAATTTGTTGAATCTAAACTTGAGTTAGCATCTTATTTCTCATATTTCTCATCCTGCCATAGCAAGGAAGTAGGATTTAGAAAATATCTGTTCATCCACAGCCATATGCGGTTCCTTGGGCACTGCAGAAAATTTGTCATTTAGCTTGTCTATGATTGGTCTCAATTCTCTGTAAACAAATATAAAGTTTTTTTCCAGAGACATAACATGACATAATTATTCTTGATTCTTTACATAACCTGGGAGAATTTAGAATTCTTCTAATGCCCTTAAAGGTTTAAAGTAAAATTAAAAAAAAAATTATTAGATTAACAGTCTAGATTAATTAATTAAATTAAAAAGCCCCAGCAGAATAGGATGGTCCTTCAGCTTGAATGAGTTCCTATTGGGCTTTGGCTGTAGCAAGGGCAATCTGCGACCTCCTCCTTTCTTTCTTGAGAACACTTTCTTTCACCATCACTAATTCATCTCTTATCCCTCCTTACTCCTTTCTTCAGCGAAATACTGTTGTAGGTACAGCCAATTCTGTGCATGAAAGCAGGCAGGCTTTTGCTGCCCTGGTTAAATTCACCAACTGCCAATGCCAATGTCTAATCTGTTTTTTTCCAACAAAGATGTGCTTAGGGCAACGTGCCCAGATGCATGCATGGAGACTTTCGTTTGGGTTTTGGGATAAACCTATCATGCATCTGCTCAATAAGGCATCTGTGGTCAGTCGCTCATAAACATCTGGGACAATTTTGGCAACATGTTCCGAGATGAATGATGAGCTCCTGTTTTTGTAAGATGGCGGTGTTGAATTATTCGCCATGGCACTTTGCCAGACAAAAAGGTATATTCTTATAATCATCACAGGTTCCCTCTTGTATGCACCTGTTCTGTAGGCTACTTTTCAGGTGTACACTGCTATTAGCAACTCATAAACATGTAACATCTGACAACTTTAAACATTTTTATTTCAAAATACTGCATCTAAAACTAAGAAAACATCTGCCATCTTTGATTCTTGGACAGTTTCATTATCAGTAAAATTTTGAAGATAAATTATTCTATATCTCTTGGTCATCAGTAAACCTTTCATCGTCAGATTCTTGTGGATCTTCTTGAATAATAATTAACACTTCTTGGTCAGAATGGTAAGAATGGCATTTGTTCTAGAATGAACGGCTATACTCCATGTCCTCATTATTTTATAAAAATAAATGCAGTTCCTGAGCCAACATTTAAATTTTTTTTAAAAATCAAAGACTTAATTTTCTTTTTATACATGGACTAGATCTTTTTGGTGACATGCTCCACCAAAGTAAAAGCCCACTCAGTCAGGCAAGAATGAGAAGCAGGAAGAGCTGAAAGTCTGCATTAAGAGCTCAGCTGTTGTTGCCTTATGAAAGATCACAGATGTTGGTAATTCATACACACGTACATATGTGTATTAGTTTACGCTGCTGTTAAAACTTATTAGTATTAGTGATTCCACTTTGGATGGTTACAATTTCAAATATTGTTAGTTAAAAAGCACTTCCCAACAGAAGTGAAGCAATTTGCAAATAAGTAGTTTTCTAAACACACGAAGATAACAATATGCATTGCTTTGTTGACTTAATCCTGTTGAGCCCCTAAGGAGCCCAGGGCTGTAGCTATGGTTAACAAACTATAGAATTGGACTTGACATTTGATAAAGACAGATGAAGTAGATTTCACCTGCTGCCTCCGCATAGAATAGTTTAATCAGCTCTATTCCCAGCTGCATTTAGCTTCCCTAACCAATGTTAGGTACCTACCAGAGCAGGGGTGGAATAAAACTGAACTGTAGGCTATGGTCTACCATCTGCTCATGCTGTCCCATCCATTATGTTAGGGAGGTTAGTGTGTTATATTTATGAGAAAATATTCTTTTGCTGATTTACTGAGTTGCATGCCCTGTTTTCAGTCCTCAAATAAATGACTATCAGCCTTATCACAAGCTAGCAGCCGTGTACGAGGCCATTCAAATAGATGCCATGTCTACTGTACAGGAAATAATTTGCCATGGATACCAGCTAGAATAAATGGTTAAAAGCAAACAATGTAAGTTTTTAAAAATGGTGTACTGTATAAATATATTCCTGCTATAAATACATTGCTAACATCTCGAAAAAAAAAAATTTCCTAGGGAAATATTTAGTGGTCAATCCAATAAAGGTACCACCGCTATAACCTAAAAGATGTTTTTTACATCCTTTGTCACAGTGCTGGTCATGTAAAAAACCATTCTTAATCCCAGTTCTCACTTAAGTAAAAACAAATATGCAATTTAAAAAATTCGTATGTTTTAGAAAATATTTTATAAAATAGGTCAGCCTATTTAAATAATACTATATATTTAATGACAGCTAATTTTGTTAAAAGTAAATAGAGAACTAATGATAATTTTATTGCTGTTTTTTTTTTAAAAAAATTCCTTCTTGTTCATGATAGACTGAGCATATTTCTGAGGGATACTTAAAGAAGGCAGGTCACTTTGTAGCATACTATCATCATTTAATGTAAACGATAAATCTATACCTTCAGGAATGTGAATAAGTCTTGATGTAGAAATGTTAAGAATCTACAAATTATTGTCGTACCCCGACTTGTCAGGTTGGCCGCTTGAAAGCTCAAAATGGTCTTTTGAGAGAGGCTGGTCTGTTATAGTGGAAGGCTGATCAATTGAGAGAGTCTGGTCTCTTGTCTTGTATGAAGTGACATTATTCTTCTTAGCTTGTGATTGTAAGCTAAGTTCAAGCAGCCTTCTCCCTCCTCCTCTCAAAATGGTCTTTTGAGAGAGGCTGGTCTGGTATAGTGGAAGGCTGATCAATTGAGAGAGTCTGGTCTCTTGTCTTGTATGAAGTGACATTATTCTTCTTAGCTTGTGATTGTAAGCTAAGTTCAAGCACCCTTCTCCCTCCGCTGTATGGTTGCATCTGCACATAACAAATTAAGTTAAAATCATATGATTAACCCCTTCATGCCTGAATATATTTAGAAGTTAGCAAAAAAAGTTTTTTGCTGTGTTTATTATATCAAATGGTTACTGAATTTATGTGACATAATACAAGCAACAAATTAACATACAGGTCGATGAATAATCACTTTGACCTCTACAGTTTGGGAGTTTGCATTGTTGCCTTGAAGAATCAACTACTGGCCAGTGCCTCATGTTATCAGAACAAACCTCCTGAAGAGGAATAGGCTTTGCTGGTCCTCTGTTTCTTTTTTTCAAATTCCCTCTCAAGGTCAAATGATGGCCTCCCCCTTTTCTTTTTTGACATGTCTTTGCCTTGCATGCAAAGCGCATGCTCAATGGAAGATCTGAAAGAAAGCAAACCATTTTGTTTTTGCAGAACAATACCCAATAAATCACAGTCCCGTCTATATAATAGCCAACTGTTGACAATTACCATATCAACAGAATGGAAACAATCTGTAGTAGTACTTTTTAGATTTTATGTGTATTCTGTAGTAAGCAATGAGTGCATCAAGGGCATCTATGCCACCCATAAACTTGTTGTACAGCTTGATAATGTTGGGGCATTCAATGACAACATTTTGTTTCAATTTCCTGTCCCATCTTTTAATAATTGAAGTTGGTTGTGCACTGGCAAAGATACTTGCAATATTACACATCTGTTGTCAAACCATTTTACTGCCTTGATTTCTACATCTTCTACAACGGCAGTTTTCTCCTCGTGTGTACCCCTTCCTTTCTTTCTCATTTCTAAGTCTGTGCTGAACACGCAGCCTTTCAAGCAATTTTTCTGCACTGTTCCAATTGACGGGAGGCCTTTTTTCCCAAGACTTAAAATAGTAAGATAAAAGAAGCCAAAATCCACAAGTATGAAAAATTCACAATGTGGCGCGGCCGTTCAAACGGAAATAACTTCACATACATCGCTCAGATAAAGTGACCAGTGCTATTCTTCTTCTTCTTCGTTCGTAATTGAGAATATGGTGGAGGATTTAGACAAGTCCAACTTCGTGAATAAACCGGACTGTGGTCTCCAGATCAGCAGGTGCCCCATATAATTTTTCCCTGAGTGGGGTGAGCAGGGGCCAGTGTCTGACTTGCGCCTGGCTATAATAAAGAACATTCCTGAAGGACGTGCTCCGTATTTTCCGGGGCCTTGCCACAAGGGCATATTTCGCCACACCCAATTTTTATAGTTTTTTATGCATGTATTGATTTAGTCTGTTATGGCCTGTTCTAAGTCGAAAGATTATGTATTGTTGTTTTCGTGTCAAATTATAATATCCATCTTTATTGTAGTGAGGGTGTGTGTCAGACCACATTTGCGTTTGAGTTATGTCCAAAAAAGAAAATCGATATATCCCTTGTTTTGCCATATGAACTACCAGTGGCAGTGACATATAGTGATTATCACATTAGAGTTAAACATTTTGGAATTTATCAACAACCCTTGAGAGAGACACACATTTGCACTGGCACCTAATTCTGGCTCATCATCATTTCTTTTTGTTAAATAATTTGTAGGGCCTGAATAAATTTCAAAGCTATAGGCAAAGCCTCATAAAACTAAAACAAAGCGCTTGAAGCCCCACTTATTGGGCTTTAACAACAGATATTGTTTTAGATAGTGCCTTGCTTTAGTTGCACATATCTGTTCATACACGCGGTTCCTTGGGCACTGCACAAAATTTGTCATTCAGCTTGTCTATGATTGGTCTCAATTTGAATAATTTATCATGCTGAGGATGCCGTTTATCCGGCATCAAATTATTGTCATTGAAGTGTAGCATACCTTCAAACTTGTTTATGGGCATAGAATTACTTTTTTCACTGATGCCAATATTCAGGTCTCCAATAACACCTTGTCCTAGGTAATGAAATTACAGAAGTGTACTGTAAAATCCAAATAAACTGTTTAATGCCCATTTCATAAAAAACATACATTTATTTGGATTCTTCTGTGTGCAGTAAAGGTTAGTTTGTTCACAAATAAAGCTAACACAATCATCATCAATGAAATGCTTAAAAAAATCATAAGATGTCTTAGTTGTGTAACTGAATCTGGAAGCAGTGAGCAGCCTTTGAAGTCCAAACTTTCTTGGTGAAGAGCTGTTTCTTTTTTCCATAGAACATTTTTGTGTGTCACTTTAGCAGTGGTGCCGGATGTAAAAGCATTTCCATATATTGGCGGTAGAGTTGATGATGAAGCCTGTGGCTCCGAATTAGATTCCTCACTCTCCTCGGTGCCACTGTCTATGTGTTCTTGCTGAACTGCAACTTCATCTTCAAGCTCAGAAGAATCAGAGAAATCATCTGATATTGCTTCAATAACATCACACTCCTCTAGAAGTTCTAGTTCTAGGAAATCTGCCAGCTCCCTTTCAGAGAGAATTCTGCGGCCCGAGCCCTTGTTCATTTTATTAAAATATAAATTAAAAACTGTCACCACTAAAACTGTCTATTAATTATACATATGTATATATAAGTAACTTGATTCTTGTGTATGTACTATTGCTAGATCTAGGTACTAATAATGCAGAGTTAATAATACTATCACTATCACATATTATGACACTATAGTTCTTTGAAGAAAAATACATGTATATTTCTTTTAGTAGTAAGTATTGGGCCACCTGTAGACCCACTAATCCATCACGGATGTAGACATATCTAAAGATTCTAGACTAGATCTAGTTTGAGTTAGGATTTTACTACTAGCAAAATTGCTACAATATGAAATGAAGGGTTTTTATATAAATATTAACAATATAAACAAAAATATACACAGACTAGCAGTAGACAGACATAAACAGCCAAACAGTGGCACAATAATTCTGGACCACTTAACAAAAACCACAAGATTCTAGACTAGATCTAGTTTGAGTTAGGATTTTACTACTAGCAAAATTGCTACAATATGAAATGAAGGGTTTTTATATAAATATTAACAATATAAACAAAAATATACACAGACTAGCAGTAGACAGACATAAACAGCCAAACAGTGGCACAATAATTCTGGACCACTTAACAAAAACCACAAGCAGTTTACAACAGGAAACGAAACAATCCATTCGCCTATAGAAAATGGACACTCCGGCCACTCACTTAAAAAAACTGTCTATACAAATAAATATACTTTTTACTTGTTTTTTTTCAGCAGCATCCAAGTCAAGTAAAAGTGTCACAAAAAACTGGGCCCTCTCTCTACACCTCTTCATAAAGCTTACAACAAATCTACCATGCCTGCAGTTTTGGAGTTAACATCAACAGGAACCAACAGTCATTAGCAGTATTTCAAGCATTTAGGAAAGATGTAACAATTAAAGTGCTTTCTTATTGAGTTGATTAAATAAAAAGTTAAAAGAATATGTTTGCAATATTTTTATTCGTAGTATAGTTCTTTAGTACATCAATTATTGTTTTCTGGGTTAAACAAAGCATGAGAAAATAAACACAGTAAGGTGCATAATTGACCAACTTATACTGTTATCAGGTTTTAAGCTTGGTGATGCATCACTTTTTTAACATTAGATTACAGTAAGGCTCTATTTTAAAAAAAAAAACCACAGCTTAAAGTAGTAGTTTTAGTTTTATTATTTAAAATATTTTACAAAACACTACACTAATTATTAACAACCCTTTTATCTAGCTGCAGGCCATCTGCTTTATATAATAGATACTTACTCCAAAAAAACTTTTTCCAATAATTTTATAGATGTAAAAAAAAATTAACTCATTTGACAAACAAATGAGAAACTAATCATCACAGCTTCTCTTGAAATTGGACATGAGACAAAAGGAAAACTTCCACAACTCATTCTTTATAGAAATAAAAGCTATTTATTACTCATAATATATGATTATAAAAAATAATTTTAAAAAGTCTGATTTGTAATAAAATTTAAAAAAAAACAACACACTGATAAAAAATAATAGTTACTTAAATAAGTGTTAACAAAATACATCTCATACTGTTGAGTCATTAGACCTGGAATTCCAGGGAATTATTTTTCGAATAGTGCAGTCTTACTTGTGGTTGGTGGAGGTGTCAACTAGAAATTTTAAATGTTGCAAATTTTACATTGAGAAACTTAAACATTGGGGTTAGAATGACACCACCTTAGTGAAAAATCAGTTAATTGATTTGATTGATCACAATTTAAGTAATAGGACTACAAAAACGTTTCATTACAAAGTGTATAGTGCTACTTCCCCCACCCCCACAATATTTGGTTTCAACCAGCTTGGATATGTTTGAACTACAAAAGAATATCTGCCAAGCACAATGTACTGATTGTCAATGTATAGAAATGTCAATGTATAGCTGTTAACAGAAGACAATTCCTTTCATGCATTACAACAGTTGCCACAAGCTGCATTAGAAAATAAATATTGCTTAAATGTTAACTTGGCAACTTCACCCTTAAAATTAAAATAATCTATGTAAAAGATATACCTGACTACCAAAATGTAAGCTAACAATTACAATATAATGTGCATTATTTACAAAATTTAACCAAGAAAATAACACATTTACAAATATAATTAATAATATAAGTAATACATATAAAATTCACACAGTAGTAACAAGTTTGTAAACAGGTACAGTTTTCCAAAAGTTATTAAATAGGCTCGATAACTGGAATTCTAGTTCTAAATTAAAACAGTTAATATAAATAAATTATTCTTCACTCATTTTCATTGGTCAAGTGTTCTCCAACAATAAACGGATCATGTTTCAACAACCAATCAACTGATGGTCTCTGATTCGCATGCCGGTGTAAAAATCTTGTCTAAAAACTCCAGTAAGTTAACTGATGATGCTGGTGGTGTAAAATCTTGTCTAAAAACTCCAGTAAGTTAAATGATGATGCTGGAGGTGTAAAATCTTGTCTAAAAACTCCAGTAAGTTAACTGATGATGCTGGTGGTGTAAAATCTTGTCTAAAAACTCCAGTAAGTTAACTGATGATGCTGGTGGTGTAAAATCTTGTCTAAAAACTCCAGTAAGTTAAATGATGATGCTGGAGGTGTAAAATCTTGTCTAAAAACTCCAGTAAGATAACTGATGATGCTGGTGGTGTAAAATCTTGTCTAAAAACTCCAGTAAGTTAACTGATGATGCTGGAGGTGTAAAATCTTGTCTAAAAACTCCAGTAAGTTAACTGATGATGCTGGTGGTGTAAAATCTTGTCTAAAAACTCCAGTAAGTTAACTGATGATGCTGGTGGTGTAAAATCTTGTCTAAAAACTCCAGTAAGTTAACTGATGATGCTGGTGGTGTAAAATCTTGTCTAAAAACTCCAGTAAGTTAACTGATGATGCTGGTGGTGTAAAATCTTGTCTAAAAACTCCAGTAAGTTAAATGATGATGCTGGAGGTGTAAAATCTTGTCTAAAAACTCCAGTAAGTTAACTGATGATGCTGGTGGTGTAAAATCTTGTCTAAAAACTCCAGTAAGTTAACTGATGATGCTGGTGGTGTAAAATCTTGTCTAAAAACTCCAGTAAGTTAAATGATGATGCTGGAGGTGTAAAATCTTGTCTAAAAACTCCAGTAAGATAACTGATGATGCTGGAGGTGTAAAATCTTGTCTAAAAACTCCAGTAAGTTAACTGATGATGCTGGTGGTGTAAAATCTTGTCTAAAAACTCCAGTAAGTTAAATGATGATGCTGGAGGTGTAAAATCTTGTCTAAAAACTCCAGTAAGTTAAATGATGATGCTGGTGGTGTAAAATCTTGTCTAAAAACTCCAGTAAGTTAACTGATGATGCTGGTGGTGTAAAATCTTGTCTAAAAACTCCAGTAAGTTAACTGATGATGCTGGTGGTGTAAAATCTTGTCTAAAAACTCCAGTAAGTTAACTGATGATGCTGGTGGTGTAAAATCTTGTCTAAAAACTCCAGTAAGTTAACTGATGATGCTGGTGGTGTAAAATCTTGTCTAAAAACTCCAGTAAGTTAACTGATGATGCTGGTGGTGTAAAATCTTGTCTAAAAACTCCAGTAAGTTAACTGATGATGCTGGAAGTGTAAAATCTTGTCTAAAAACTCCAGTAAGTTAACTGATGATGCTGGAGGTGTAAAATCTTGTCTAAAAACTCCAGTAAGTTAACTGATGATGCTGGTGGTGTAAAATCTTGTCTAAAAACTCCAGTAAGATAACTGATGATGCTGGAGGTGTAAAATCTTGTCTAAAAACTCCAGTAAGTTAACTGATGATGCTGGTGGTGTAAAATCTTGTCTAAAAACTCCAGTAAGTTAACTGATGTTGCTGGAGGTGTAAAATCTTGTCTAAAAACTCCAGTAAGTTAACTGATGATGCTGGAGGTGTAAAATCTTGTCTAAAAACTCCAGTAAGTTAACTGATGATGCTGGAGACAGCTGGTAATGAGGTGGCTCTCCCATAACAGTTCTGAAGACAACATTTGGTGTCGGAAGTGACGAGTTGGGTGGTTTTCCTGTCAACATTTCCATCACAGTGCAGCCGACACTCCTTTAGATAAATATAAAACAATTGGAATTTATCACTGGTCTCCCTTGAATAAACATGACATTCATGGAATCACACACAGCTGAAACACAAAATTTTAAAACAGTAAAATAGAGGAGAGAATGGTGAACCATAAAGCTAATCCCTACTGTGCTAATGAACTTTTTTTGTGTGAAGAGCATTACCAATGTTTAATTTCATCAATGATGAAGCTTCTGTTATTAATGAGAAAGGAGCAGTATTTACAATAGAAATTATTATAAATTGAAAAGTTGCCTACATCATCATGCCACAGGAAAGATAAAATTAAAAACCAGTTTTTAGATTGAAATTCCTAATTACACACTAGAAATGCAATAAAAACCCATTCATACCATATCTGCCCTGCTAGTGTATTTTATAATCTTGCCGCCTTCCGTATACATCACTTCTGGAGCCATATAACGCACTGTTCCTTTCTCTGTTACCATTCCATTGCCATTAATAAATTCAGCAATTCCAAAATCTGTTAACTTAATATTCATGTCATCTTCCATCAAGATGCTGTTACCTGACATATTGATTGAAAGATTATAATTAAATTGCTGTCAGTATTTAAAAGTTTAGTAGCATTTGGTCACTCGTAAAATCATATAATTGTTAGTCCCATTTATAAATCACCAGATAATGCATGTTATTAATTATATCTACCTTTAATATCCCTATGGCAAATGTCTTTTTGATGCAAGTAATTGACACCTTCTAAAATTTGAATAGTAAAATGACGAGTCATCTTCTCATCTAAATTTCCTTTCAAAGAGACAAAAGATGCGAGAGTTCCCTGTTAAAAGTTCATTTAAAACAACTCACTGTAAATATTATAAGAACAAGATTGTTTTTTAGCCACTAAACATTAAAAAAAGCAATTGGCCTACCTACTTTTTCCAAATGATAAAAAAAAAAAACAAAAAAAAAAGTACCACCTACAACTTATTCTGATATAATTACTGATGTCTTAATTATATCTAAACAATCTAAGCACTATACAATATATATTTATATATATAAACAACAGAAATAAGTCTATTACACGTTTGAGATACTCCAAGAAAATTAAAAATTCATCTTTCTTTTTTTCAAATCCGTAAAATTGAATGATCCGCCTTTGTTTAGCTTTTCGAAGAATTATTGCCTCATGTTTACATACTTCCTGACAACAAAATATATCTATACATATATAATTTATTACATATGTAATAGAAAATATATATATAACATAACATACATATATATAACTATATATATATTTATATATGTGTGTGTTTGTATTTGTCTAACGTTAATATATACATATTACTTAAAATTATTTTTAGTGCATAGAATTGCAGTTTTATGACATTCACGATACTGATACTGAAAACTCTGCAGAGAAAAAAACACGAGCAGTATCAATGCTATGTGTAAAATCGCACCAGACAGTTGTCATACTGGAACCAATGGGGGAAGCAGAGGGTTCTAGACCCAAATTGACACTCCTGCTGATTTTCCGAAATACTGCGGTTTCCAGAGTTATCCAGCATTACCAAGCGGTCAGTTAAATCTTGACTGGTAATAATTTTTTGGCTAGCTTCTCTATTTTTACTCATCTCTTTCAAACACTCAGTTGTATATTCAAGTTCCTCAAGATCTTTACCAGAGTTTCTTCCAGGCATCTCTTCGGGGGGCGAAGCCCCCCCCCCCCCCCCCCGAAATTTTTTTACCGCCCCCCCCCCCCCCCCCGCCCCGAACGAAATGAAATTTATATAATTTATATAGAAAATATCTACTTTTAACAGTGTCTGCCCCCCCCCCCCCCCCCGAAGAAAGTCTACCGCCCCCCCCCCCCCCCCCCCCGAAAATTTCAAGTGCCCCCCGGAGAAAAAAGTCTGGAAGAAACACTGATCTTTACCAGCAAGAACATTTTTCAACGTATCGAGTAAAGGAATAATCTGTGCATAAATTTAATAAACATTAAAAATAAAATGCACATAACGCGTAAGAGTACTGTAAACTAATAAATAAAGACACTAACTCCATCCATACTGCATAAGATTTTGAAGCCCTGCGTTCTGTTGCAAGGAAGACATTTCGTTTGTAAAAACAACATAAATGCCTAAAACAAATCAAGTATTAAAAAAATAATTTGATGCAAGTTAAAAAAAAAATAATTTGGCTCTATATTGCTTCTAGTCAGTGTTTCTTCCAGACTTTTTGCTCCGGGGGAGGGGGGGGGGGCACTTGAAATTTTCAGGGGGGCGGTAGACTTTCTTCGGGGGGGGGGGGGGCGGGGCGGACACTGTTAAAAGTATATATTTTCTATATAAATTATATAAATTTCATTTCGTTCGCCCCCCACCCCCCCCAGAAGAGATGCCTGGAAGAAACTCTGCTTCTAGTTCTAGATTATGCTATAGTATAAATAGTAGCTTCTATTTCTATGAATAGAAAATAAAACAACAATTTGTTTCTATCTTTAAAATATTTTATCTAAAACAAACTTTTCAGTTGAATTTTCTATCGTATGTAGATCTAGAATTTTAATTTGTATATATAGGCCGAAGCCTAAACATTAGAGTCGCTATAATAGGTTCAATACAGGTAATCTCTTAAATATCTATATTTTATTGGCATTTGAACGAAATCTGTAAAAATGTGATGTCAACTTTGAGTGTCAACTTGTTATGCGCCGTTGACTCCGATTTCAGCCTGCTTTTCTTTTCGGATTTGCACCCACAGCCTTTATCCAACCAAGAACAACTACACTGCAGTAGTTGTTTGTTTTTGGAATTTTCTCTCCTAGATGGGTCGCTGTCCCCAACCATTGAGCCTCATATACCCGGGGTCGGCGCCCGGGGACATATGCCCCCCCCCCCCGCTACGCCTCTGCGTACAAGGTCGGGTGTCACCTCCCCCCCCCCGAAATAAATATATATATATTCCATATACACATGTGTATATGTATTCAAATATCTTTTTTTACTTTCTCGTATATACCAAGTATAGAGAATGTATTGTAATCGTGCTAAAAAATCACTTGAAATTTTAACAATTTTCACCGTATTACACCTCAGTCCTTCATCACATCCGAAGTATAGAGGACTTATTTTAATCGGGCAAAAATTATCAATCCAGATTTATCAAAATTAAGAGGTTTTATACGTAATCCAGTCTGAAAAACTGGGCTTTGCAATTCTGTCCGTATGTCTGTGTGTCTGTCTGTCTGTCTGTCCGTGTGTAAACACGATAACTTGAGTACCGTTACAGCTAGGTTGATGACATTTCATATATAAGTATTTTATCAAAATCGTAAATCCGTATAAACTTTTGAGCGATTTCCGATAACCGGAAGTGGTACTTTTTCTACTTTGAATTTTTCAAAAGCCTATAACTTGAGTACTATTTCAGATAGATAAATGAAATTTAACATGTGAGTAGAAGATCTAATTTTCTACCTTTTGTTAAATTTTGAGTTATTTCCGTTGACCGAAAGTAGTAATTTACGCTACTTCCGATTTCTCAAAAAACTAATGTAAATTTTTAAAGTACTAATAATATTGCGCACTATTATGCACTTTTTTATTTGACGTTCACTTGGTGTGCAATTCTTTTGTCTACGAGATTTTATTCTATTTTTAAAACTTTAAGTATTTAAAATGGATTAAAAATCATGTCTATAGCCCGAGTTCCCATCCCCTGTGGTTTTATATAAGAATATTCGAGAAAGTTTAGGGGAGATCACTCCCGGTTTATTTCTGGATGTATTTAATTTTTTTTAAGCTAAGCTTTTGACTGAACTTCGTCCTCTTTTTTTTAATGTATAAGAGAATGAGTAACATACACACCTGTGGGTTGTTGTATAATAATTTGCTAAATCGAATGATGGGTGTGTATATTTGTACATTTTCTATGTGGTTTCGCCCTAATCCACTTCAGTGGACCGTGTATTTTGTGTCACCCCTCCCTAACTTTTTGTTGAATGGCGTCAATTTTGTGCAAATAGAATTATTAATTTAATATAATTTATTAATCTACATACTCAACTCTAGCAGTTATTAATTATAAAATGTGCCACCCCCCACCACAGGCATGGACACGTATATTATTATGATTCTCAACCAAACCGTTTTCCTCAGGCAAATTTTGCAACATTTAGTTGATGTAACTCACCCCCCCCCCTCCCCCGGGTGGTAGCTTTAAACTGTAAACTGTGCTCAAATAAAACTAACTTTTATCTATAGTCGATTATAAATACAACTGGATTTAGAAATGTCACCCATCCCCACCCTTGTCGGGATTTATCAACTTTGCTTTCAAAGAGTATTTAACTCACTCATTATTGAACTGGAATTATCGTTTTTTTCTGTATATATTTGGCTATATTTTGCCTTGGTGTCACCCCTTAGATGGGTCACCCAGTGCGCCCCCCCCCACCCCCGCACTCTACCTTTGGGGCACAGATTAGATTTTTAAAACGATCTATACGATTTCCAATAAAATGGGTTTACTAAGAAACACAGTCGTCTGTAGTCTTTATTCTCCAGAGGCGTAGCGAGGAGGAGGGGGGGAACATATGTCCCCGGGCGCCAAAATGGGTTTTAAAAAACAAATTGAAAGTTTGAAGGGGGCGCAAATCGAAAGTCTGGGGGGGGGGGGTTGACGTCACTATTTTTACCTCCCCTCCGTCACACATCGTCACAAAAAGCGAGACTTGTTTAAAATTATATATATGTGTGTGTGTCCACAAAGTTACAAACATATAGCTACGTGATTTATAATTCATCAATATATTACATTTTCAGCAGTAATTAATCAAATAAAATGGGCAGGGCACTGTTTTATTTTTATTTACTAATTTTTTTTTCATAAAGAGCATCCCATTCTCAACTCTTTAAATTCAATATAAATTGATTTCCTCTCCATTATTACCATCTTTCAACACACCTTCGTGAAGATAATAATATTGACCTACAAACCTTCATTTCTTAGAAAAAAGTATTTTCGGGAAAATCGAAGTTTGTCGCCTGATGACGGCAGCTTGAGGACACACAAGAAAAAAGTTTGAATGTACACAAAGACCTTGAGTCCACTGGTGTACATTTTTCAGTCAAGGATACATGGTAGGTTTAAATAACTCTACACATTTTATAACGTTGATATATTTACATTTTTAATACTCCATCACTTATTAAATGAACTTCGAAATTTTCATAATTTGCTTATGTTTTATATTAGCCACACGCTTGGTGAGACCATATAAATATGTCATACCGCATATTCCAAACATTCACCCAGTTAATATAATACAATAATACGCAAGAGTGGTGACACCTAACTGAAAATACTAAATTCTTGGAAGGGGTGGGGTGACACCTCTAGTTTAACCGCAACGGGTTACACGCCGACCTTCGAGCGCCCTTGCTTATATCAGCTTCTCCTTGGATTGTAGTGCTAGTGTTTGCCTCAGGCAGATGTGTATTTGGAAACGTAACTAGTTAAACTTAAATGCATTTCAATGCACTACACCATACGTTTACGCATCCGGTGACACCCGACCTAAAATAAAATGCAGTAATATAGATTTAAATCTAGATCTAGTTAGTATAAATTCTAGATTCTCCATTTAAGTACAAGATTTAGTAGCAATAGATCTGGTAGATCTACGCCACAGTAACAAACGTGAGACCACTTAACCCCTTAAAACCCCCCAATAAAACTCCTTATCTATTTCTGAGGTAAACACTGCTAATCTCAGCACGTTATTTAATTTATGACCCTCATGGTCTAGCAGGGAAGTGATCCGACACAATATACCGAAGCTTCCCCCTTATAATGTCTAACCTACTCAGCCCCCACCTGTTTCTAGCCCACCATAAAACATCTTTATAGGTAACATGGATTACTGTTCTCAGCAGGGGCGGAACTACAGTGCCACCAGACCCCGCAATTCGGGGGAGGGGGGGGGGACGCAGTTTAGGGGCCCACATCCGACCATAATCAAATTTTTTTAATAGTTAAAAAACTTAATTTTCCTTCATTTTTGACTTGGTGGTTGTTTAGTTAAAAGAATACTGTAGCTGCGGTTGGATTATCCTTATTCTATATCCCAGGCTCTTGTATAATTACACTTTTCCCCTTTGTTTATAAGTTTAAACCATTGTGAAAGATAGGCAAACGTTTAAACCACTTCCATGACTTATTTCCCTTTTTTTAAATAGTCAAGTAGGGGTGTCATAAGCTCCTTTTAATAGATTTGTACTATATAATTAAAAAGCAATTACTTTTCTTAATTATTTTTCTTAAAATATATACTAAAGAAGGACATAGTATAAAATGGAAATGTATTTAACATTAATAATATATTTATATATATGGGGGCTCAAACATTTTTTTGCGGGGTGGCCCTTTTTTTTTCTAGTTCCGCCACTGGTTCTCAGCGCAGTAGGGATGGTATGTTATGTAATTTACGACCATGGTCGAGCAGGGTGGAGACCAAAGAGGAATCAGTACCACTTCCCTCCCCTCAAAATTTCTTACCGCCATGCTACTTTACACCCAGCCCCCAACCGTTTCTAACCCATCATAAAACGTGATCTCTTTTTAGGTAACACGGATTGCTGCTCTTAGATTTCAGCCAACCAGAGATAACATTTCTTATTTAATTTATTACCCTCAGGGCCCAGCAGGGAAACAAAGGTGAAACTAGTACCACTGATCTGCTCCTAAATTTATCTAAACTCAGTCCAGTATCAGATACATAGTACTGTAATTAAACACATAGTAGGTAGTCCTAAGCAATTTATTAAAGCCTTCTACAACAAAAATATCAATTACTTTTAAAATTTAACTTAAGTAGCAGATTCTAGATCTAAGTCCAGTCATACAATCTATTTCAATTTCTGATAATTTCGTTTGATAAATAAAATGATTAGAATCTACAGCTAGATTCTAGATCTTTTTTTATTATTAGGCCTATTTTTTATTTGTTAATTATCGGTGTATTATGAATCGAATATAGGTCAACATTTTGCAGGCCTAATTAAATTTTATTAATTTTGTAGGCTCATTAAATTTAATTAAATAAGTAGATTCTAGATTCTATGTCTACCTAGCGTAGCCAGTCACCCTATATCTAGATTTAGTTTCGTTTACAACATGATTATATTTAGAGCTGAATTCTAGATCTAAATATTAAATAAATATTCCACTTAAATTTTATTATTACTTTTGAATTTGGTCAATTGCTATTAATATTTATGAAGTCCGAGCATATTTGTTTTATTAACAGTTGCTTTGTTAATTGAAATGAAGTTTATTGTTTACTGTCCCTAACTTTATTTGCCTCTGCTTCACTAAAACCACTTCGATAAATAGGCCTATTTAATTTAACCATTGGCAGTCGAAATAAAGGAATCCCTTTAGATCTGCCACTTCGAGTATCAACCTTCCACAGCACAGATCGCCATTTTGAATACGGACCTGTACACCGCGATGGCGGATGTTTTAAAAAAAACGAAGAACGGACGTGACGTCATATGCAAGGACTCTATTAAGTCTGCCTGCCCCGACGCCTACTCCCCGCCATCCCCCGTGAAGCTCTTGGCTTCTAAAACTTATGTTTCAATTATTTTTTTCTTAGGTGGGAAATATACACATCTGATACGTTTATTCATCCGTTGAGTTGGTGTTTCTTGAACACAAGAACTGCCGATCTAATTCGTACATAAGCAGTTTTTTTTTAATTTTATTTTCTTAGAGTTAATACCTTAAAGTTAAATTCAACATGGGACGTCCATATCGACCCGAACCCCCCTCCCCATTTCAAACGCGCCCACATCAGTCGATTTTTCCCACGTTTTCTTTAACTTGCTTTCGCGTCTGTTTGTTTGGTTCTCCAATCAAATCTTGCGATCGATATTTCGGGCACTTCCCAGTTAGCTAGCGCGCTGAAATTTTCAGGGAAGCTTTGTTTCCGATGACCATAGAATATTCAATTGTTATTATTACTAAATTGATCCATGGAAACATTTTATTGAGCATTTTAGACCGCTATATAATTGTAGTAAAAACGTGGGGAAAAGGGGACATAACCCAGTAACTGTAATTTGATGAAAACAAGGTTCGGTACTCTCCCTCTTTGCTTACTGAGTAGTGTTCACGCGGTGTTTGTGTACAAACAACCGTAACAACTGGTGGCCAGAATGGGGGAGACGATATGGTCGAGTGGTTGGGCACACGATTGCTATTCCACTCGACACGGGTTCAAATCTATGTGTTCTAGTCAGTAACGTATTCACACAACGTGTTTTTTTACGAATTGTCTTCGTTTACCCCAAAAAAGTGAAAAGATAAATCGATAGCAAGATTTTAATGCAAACAAACAGACAAAGACTAAAAAAATAGAAAATAATAATCATTAAAAAAGTTTAAAAAAAAAACACGTTTTCTGAATGAACTAAAAAGTAGAAAATAAATGCTATACATCACAATAATGCAAGCGATCACTCTACTATAAGCGATCAAAAACGTGGGACGCCGTGATTTTCTTACAGTTTCTAATACTGTTGACTCTCTACAAGCTCCCTAATAAAAGTCAATAGTATTATCTAATCAATAGTAATATAACTTTTACTTCGGCGCCCCACGTTTTTCATCGCTTATAGTAGAGTGATCGCTTGCATTATTGTGATGTATAGCATTTATTTTCTACTTTTTAGTTCATTCAGAAAACGTGGGTTTTGTAAAACTTTTTTAATGATTATTATTGTGAACATCATAAATAGATGACGCCTTATATCTCTCTTCACTTCACACACATAGCAAGCACAAGCCAACGTTGGTAATACGATTTCCAATAAAAATGGGTTTACTAGGAAACACAAACAGGCGTCTGTAGTCTTTATTCTCCGTTCGAATGGGTAGAGAGTGTAGCATTTATTAATTTATACATACATATTTGTTTGTTAATAAATAATATAAAATGAATATATGTACATATGTATATGTAAATATGTATATGTATATATGTATGATATTTATGTATGATATTTATGTATGATATATATATATGTATATATATATATTTATATATATATATATATACATATATATATATATATATATATATATATATATATATATATATATATAGTGTGTGCACAAAAACGTATAAATATATATATGTATATATATATATATATATATATATATATATATATATATATATATATATATATATATATATATATATATATATATATATATATATATATATATATATATATATATATGTATATATATTGTGTGTGCACAAAAACTTGTTTACTATTATATGTGTTTGTGTCCACAAAGTTACAAACATAGAGCCTACGTGATTTATAATTCATCTGTATATTACATTTTAAGCAGTAATCAATTAAAAAATGGGCGCCGTATTATTTTTATTTACTAATTTTTTTTTTCATAAAGAGCATCCCATTTTCAACTCTTTAGATTCAATATAAATTGATATCCTCTACATTATTACAATCTTTCAACACACCTTCGTGAAGATAAAAACAAGCCTTCATTTCTTAGAAAATTATGTTTATCGGGAAAATCGGTGTTTGTCACCTAATGGCGGCAGCTTGAGGACACACAAGAAAAAAGTTTGAATGTACACAAAGACCTTGAGTATTCACTGGTGTACATTTTTCAGTCAAGAATACATGGTAGGTTTAAATAACACTACACACATTTTATAGCGTTGATACATTTATATTTTAATACTCCATCACTTATTAAATGTGCTTTGAAATTTTCATAATTTGCTTATGTTTTAAAACTTTTATATTTCTTGACGCTTCTCCTTGCTAAATTCCATGGGTTGTGGTGTGAGTATTTGCCTCAGGCAGATTTTGAATAGTAACTAGCTAAGAAAAAACCCAATAGAAATAACATTAGTTTAATAAAGACTTTCATATCATAAAGAAATGAAAAACAACAAATGTTCATATATATATATATATATATATATATATATATATATATATATATATATATATATATATATATATATATATATGTATGTATATATATATATATATATATATATATATATATATATATATATATATATATATATATATATATATATAAGCCCTTATAAGGATGTTACAATGTTACATTTTCTAGGAAAATCCCTCTCTGTATTTAATTTTTACGTATCCGTACATTAGGGGTCGAATGCTAATGTAGCCTATTTTTGCTTAGTTGCCAGCTGCGCATAATGTGTAACATACCTGGCTGAACGGATAGGGTTTATTTATATTACACTGGAAATCTGAAAGGTTTGTGAGTACTTACTGGCTCAATTTAGAGAAAGTTTAAAGTGTGTTCAATTTTTCAAATATTTATATAGACCCTATTGGAGATTTCATTTCCGCCATTATTAGGTCTTTATACTTTAAATATTTTGCGCTGCGTATTTACCTATTTAGTATTTATTTAACATCCCTATAAAGTACAATAGTTTCGCTTTTCTGTCTGTCTTTCTGCCTGTCTGTCCGGAACGTTCTAGAGAAAACCATAAGAAAATATAAATGTTGAACAGTGAAGGACAGTGACGTCAAATGTAATATTTAGGAAATTTTCAAAACAAAACGAAATATTTACAGTTCTTAAGCCAGAGAAGTACACACCCCAACGAAATAGAATTAATATAGAAAATATGTACCTTTTCCAGTGTTCTTCGTCCCCCCTCCCATTCCAGAAAAGATACCTGAAAGTAACTCTGAATGCGACTTTTGTCAAGTTTGATGACAACGACTATATTTTGTATGAATGTGCAGTAACTACGTGTGGTGTAGATCAAGGTTAGCAAAGTATTGTGGTAATATCTACATTTAGCGTTTATACACAAAATAGAATGGCGTCATTGATTGTTGAATATAAAAATAGAATTAAGCATCAAATGCTTAAAACGATACACACAAATAATTACGTCATTGATAATAGAGAAAAAAAAATCAAACGCCTAATTTAATTGTATAGTTTTAGAAGTGAATGTAGATATAAACAAGTTAGTAAAAAATCTAGTGACAATTTAAGCGCAATTTCCTTATAATATCTAAAAATAGCTCTGTCGTAGCGTAAAGCACACACGGGGACAAAACACAAGACGTATAATGCTGGGGTGCGTTCAAGCTAGGAGAACGATCGGTTTGTAGGTGTTTATGTAATTTAAAAAAAAAATTGTGACCAAACGAAAGGATATTTTTGAAAACTTTCTTGGGCAATATTGTTCTAAATTATGGCAGGAATCGATTGGTAAGTGTTTCAAGTCGCTAAGTGGTCTGGTTGCCGAGATATGGGCAAAAACTGCATTTTTTGAGGTTTTTTGGCTTTTCCGGGAAATTCAGGAAGGAATTCCGGGAATTTTTTTGGCCCACAATCATCCTCGGAACTTGCTTAACATATTTGCTTTGGAACTAGTCCTCGATACTGCTTCGTTGAGGATGAGATACGACTTAAAGCTGCGGACACACATCGGACACACATCGGACACACATCCATCCTTGACGAGTTAATAATCGCAATTGTCCGTATGGAAATTGCGCTAAAAATACCGGAAAAGTAGTATATATCATAAGCGTTAGTATTAGGATTAAGGTTAGAGTGATTACTTTTTTTATTTCAAGTTGAAATTCCGGATCCGGTTAAATGCCGATTCTGGCTAAAAATCCGTTTTGAATGACATTTTTCGTTTCCGGTTAAATTTGATATTGAGGCGGTGTTTTTTGGTTTTTCATTTTGGTTTGAAGAAAAAGACAACACTATCAACCTAGCACCCGTTGTTTTTCTCCCTCAGCGGGCCATTTATCTAGTTCTAGTGTGACCTACTTAGGTCCAGTAATGTTTTATTTTGACATTGTGTTAATACCATATATGGATTGATGGTGCAACTACCGGGTATTTTCCACTGTCTTACTAAGAGTGTCTAAGACGTAGAAATTTTCCATCAAGATCTGATTGATTGATTCAGATCAGATGACCACCCCAACCAATGGCCACATGAGTTGAGGCTAATCTCCCCTGTCGCCTAAGTCTTTAACTAGATCGCCCACAGGCGACACGAGGCAGTCCACCTTGATCAAGCGGTCCATTACGACCAGGCCGTCCATTTTGTCCGGCAATAGATTCTGACCATTTGAACGTGAGAGAGCTTAAGTCCTGAGTGTGCTATGCATTCCTAAGTTGTTAAAGTGTTCTAATATTATATTACTTGTCGCCAAGTGATTTCTTGATGCTATAGCAGTGTTATGTGACCTGTGGCTATTTTTATACAGTGTTAGAATCTGTGATAATATTTTTTCTTACGCTTTGTAAGTTGGGTTTTGTTATTTTCTAAATTAAATATTTTATCTCGTTTAACCTAGTGTTCTGCCACAATTGTGTTCGCTTATTAATGATTGTATGCAGATTGGATGAGTTGTTAACTTCAATAGTATCACTAGTTTTCCCTAGACATCGAATCGAGCCCTAGTGTGTTGTTGAGTTAGTGTTCATTCATTTAGGCTGTAAGTCATTTGCATTCAACCCCAAAAAAAGAATCCGGGGACGTTCACCTTCTATCTGGCTGGTAGATAGGTGTCCGTTACAAAGTGGGGGCTCGCCGAGATTTAATCTGTCGTTCCAGTTGTTGGTTATATCAGTTAAACACTAAGTTTAGTTTGATTTAGTTGTTTTCCTATCCAGTGGCGCCGTGTTATTACAACGCGCGCAAGGTTAGAGGTATCTAGGTCAAAAGCTAGACGTGTCACGTCCTAGGTTGAAGAGGTCAAGTACACGGCCCAACGCTCCGTGTTAATTTAGAGAATCTAGGCTTGTTGTGATTTTGAAGTTAGTGTTATGGAATCTTTTTTGGCTAATCCCACTGTTGAGGAGGTCGAGAAGTTGAGTAGAAAAGTTTTGATTAGTGTTGTTAAGGAATTGAAATTGGATTATTCTGTTACGCAGAAATCAGAGGTGTTGAGAGATAAAATTGTTGTTCATTTTATTAATGAAGGTGTATTTGATGAAAGTTTGTTGGCTGGTGTGTTACTCCGTGAGGAGAAACCTCTAGAGAAGGTAGAATTAGAAGCTAAAATTGCTTTAGAGAAGGCTTTAAAAGAAAAGGAGTTAGAAACTAAAAGGGCTTTAGAGAAACAGGAGTTAGAGGCTAAAATTGCTTTAGATAAGAGGAGGTTGGAATTAGAGTTTGGTCAAGTTAGTGATGTCACTTCTCTGGTAGATCCAAAAAAGTTGTCGGTGGGGCAAGTGATTGCCAAATTTGGGAAATTAGTTCCTAAATTTGATGAAACAGATTTGGTCGTTTTCTTTAACTCATTTGAGAGTTTAGCGAAGACATGTGAATGGCCCGAAACTTCCATTACTGCTTTATTGAGCACGGTCCTTACAGGGAAAGCTGCAAAAACATACCAGGCACTCTCTCACGACGTTCAAAATAACTATAGTTTGGTCAAGACTGCCATTTTGAAGGCCTACGAACTGACGCCCGAGGCCTATCGGATGAAATTCCGAGCACTCCGCAAGTTACCCACTCAATCATATGTGGAATTTCTCTTTGAAAAAGAGAAAATTTTCTCAAGGTGGCTACACTCTGAGGAAGTTTCTGAGTTTGAGAAACACAGGTCACTTATCATAAGGGAAGAATTCCTAAAGTCCCTGCCTGAAGACATACGACTACACATACTGGATAACAAGATAATTGACATCCAGAAGGCTGCTGAGTCGGCTGACACATATATGTTGGTGCATAAGAAACCACCAGTGTCAGGAAACCGCCTCAACCCCGTGCTTCCCCTTTTTGGCAGCAATCCTCCTGTTGGCCAACATTTGAGGGCATCACAGTCCAGAGAGAAACCAAGATCAACTCTCAATCGTCGAGCAGTATGCCAGTTCTGCAAAAGACCTGGTCACCATGTCAAGGACTGTTACAAACGTCTTCAATTTAACAGAGAAGCGGTGCGTACTTCTGCGCACTATGCTCTATCCCCTCAAGCAACCGGTTCAAATATGAACTCTAGAATTCCAAGGGACGCTAACCCTAAGTGTCCGCAAGAAGGCAGTCAAATCTCCACACATTATGTGCAGTCACATTTTGATTGTTCACGCCACCATCCAGTTTCTTCCGAGTCTACTGATCTCGAGGGATCGAGAAAGGTTGACTTTTCATCTTTCATTACAGAAGCTACCATTAGCAAACCAGGTGATCCGTTGTCTCAGCGGAATATCACCGTCCTAAGAGACACAGGAGCGTCACAGTCACTTCTTTTGAAAAGTTCAATGGACATTACACCAGAGACGAACACCGGAAACGTTTCCATTATCCAGGGAGTGGGGACAAAATCTACTGTCGTCCCTCTACACAAGTTTGCCCTGAAACATCATCTCGTCGAAGGCGAGGTCATTTTAGGTGTGATAGATAGTATTCCTGTCCCAGGAGTACACCTACTTCTAGGGAATGACCTTGCGGGAAGCAAAGTATACCCCTGTACGGTTCCAAACCCTTTGTCAACAGTTCCAGATAATGATAATGAACTGTATCCTGCATGTGTGGTGACAAGAAGCCAGACCAAACAATTGGCTGACACAACGTCTGAACCACACCTACAATCATCGTCAAGAAATTCGACTCCCAAACTGGAGTCTATGCTTCCAGAAAACACAAGCCTGGGCTTACCCCTGAGGATATCTCAGGAAGACATCATTAAAGCTCAACAAGTCGACGCGGAACTCAAAGCAACGGTCGAAAAATCTCTATCATCTGACGATGGGGAATATTTCTCCGAAAACGGCCTCTTCTTTCGTCGCTCTGTACCAGTGGATGCCGCACCAGCCGAACCATGGTTGGGTAAAAACCAGCTGTGGGTCCCTCCACCTTATCGGCATGAAATACTGAAACTGGCACATGACCATCCAATGTCAGCGCACCCAGGAGTCACTAAAACAGTGGCGAAGATCAAAGAACTGTTCTTTTGGCCCAAAATGAGAAATGATGTGTCGCGTTACTGCAAAAGTTGCACGAACTGTCAGTTGGCCGGAAAGCCAAACCAGAATATTCCTAAGGCCCCTTTGAGTCCGATTCCTGTATTAGAAGAACCCTTTTCTAAGATCGTCATGGACTGTGTAGGTCCCTTGCCTAAAACCAAGGCGGGCAACGAGTACCTACTTACCTTTATGTGTTCAAGTACCCGTTTTCCCGAGGCGTTTCCCTTACGGAACATTAAGGCAAAGACTGTAGTCAGAGCCATGACCCGGTTCTTCACTACCTTTGGATTACCTAGAATCGTGCAAACAGATCAAGGCAGCAACTTCACCAGTCACCATTTTCAGGAAGCGCTAGCCAAGCTAGGCGTTACCCACATCACCAGTTCAGCCTACCAACCTCAGTCTCAAGGCGTACTTGAGAGGTTCCACCAAACCCTCAAAACCATGCTAAGAACATTCGCTAAAAGTAACACCCAATGGGATGAGACTGTTCCTTGGATTATTTTCGCCGCGAGGGACTGTGTCCAAGAAGCTTTAGGTTACTCTCCTTTTCAACTTGTGTTTGGACATTCTGTCCGTGGTCCCCTGAAGCTGATCCACGAACGTTGGACAGGTACCAGTGATCATCCAGTGGAAAACTTTGACGATTTTCACGTTCGACTGAAAGCCGTGTGCGAAATGGCTCACAAGAACTTAAGAAAGGCCCAAGTGAGAATGAAAGGACTGTATGATAAGAGTTCTCGTAAACGAACATTCAATCCAGGCGAGAAAGTTCTTGTGCTAGTGCCTAATCTGAACAATGCGTTATCCTTAAGATATTGTGGACCCTTTACTGTGCAGAAGAAAGAAACAGACAGTGTATCATGTTAACTCACTGAAAAAGTATTTTGATAATTGTAACAATTTTCATTCCACAGCTAAAATTACTTTACCTGTATGTTCAAATGTTTCTGATGATGTGATACATGATAAATTGAAACCCCCAAAATTGGTAAATTCTTCCTTTTTAGATAATTTAAATGACCACCTTATGCATTTGTCCACAGAGGAAAGCCATAGATTGTCTCAGTTATTTGAGACATTTCCCTCTATTTTTGGGGATGTCCCCAAAGAAGCGAAGGTACCACCTCATGATGTAGACGTAGGTGACGCAAAACCCATCAAACAACACCCCTATAGAGTTAATCCGGAAAAAGCTGCTTTGATAAAAGATGAAATTGATTATATGCTCAAGAATGATATAATTGAACCCAGTTTCAGCAACTGGAGTTCCCCATGTCTCTTAGTCCCGAAAGACGGTGGATCTTTCAGGTTTGTGACCGACTTTAGGAAGGTAAATGCGCTCACCAAAGCTGATTCCTATCCTTTACCTCGAATAGAAGACGTTATTGATAAAGTTGGCCAAGCTAAGATAATTTCCAAAATTGATTTACTATCAGGATACTGGCAAATCCCATTATCTGACCGTGCAAAAGAAATATCTGCTTTTGTAACCCCTAATGGTTTTTATAGATACAAACGTATGCCCTTTGGTATGCGAAATGCTGGTCAAACTTTCCAGCGGGTCATTAACTCTTTCATTGCTGACATAGACCAATGTGAGGCATACATAGATGATATAGTTGTATTTTCTAATACTTTTGAAGAACATATTGTTCAGTTGACTAACCTTTTTAGAAAATTGTCTGAAGTTAATTTTACTGTAAACCTGCATAAAAGTGATTTCTGTAAAGGTTCAATTACCTATTTGGGTTATCAAGTGGGAACGAACCAAGTTAGGCCCATTGAAGCTAAAGTAGATGCTATTGTAAGGTTGCCTCCTCCCAAAAATTGTAAAGAAATCAAAAAGTTCCTTGGGATGGCTGGTTACTATAGGCGGTTCTGTCAAAACTTTTCAGCTGTTGCTGAACCTCTTACTGCATTATTGAAAAAGGGTGTTGAGTTTGAATGGTCCAATAAATGTCATGAAGCTTTTTTAACCATTAAGTCATTTTTATCCAATGCTCCTGTTATGGCTGCCCCAGATTTCAGCAAGCCCTTTAAACTTGCCATTGATGCTAGCAACTTAGCCATTGGCTCAGTCCTATTCCAAGAAGACAACATGGGGATTGACCATCCCATTGCTTTTTTTTCCAGGAAGTTAAATGAGAACCAAAAGAATTACTCTACTATTGAAAAAGAAGCTTTAGCTTTGGTTCTGTCCTTACAACATTTTGAAGTCTATGTCACTTCTTCAACCAATCCCGTCAGAGTGTTTTCTGACCATGATCCCCTGAAATTTACCTCTAAGTTAGGACAGAAGAATCAAAGAATATTGAGATGGTGTTTATATTTCCAAAATTTTAATCTGGAAATTTCCCACATTAAGGGTAGTGATAATGTTGTGGCTGATTGTTTGTCAAGGATGTAAAATCTTATTACACCCATTGATCGTGTGACATGTTTTGTGGTTCATTAGGACCATACACAAGTTTTGTTTAAGTGACACTCACATGAATGTGAGTGGTATGAGTTTTGAATTTTTTCAAAATGACAATCATGTTGAATATTTTGTTTATTTGTAGGTAAACCTTAATTAAAGGTGGTTTTTGATTATATGTAATCTTTTATGATATTATGTCTCACATGACTCAGTTGATATTGTAGCTAGTCATTGAAATAAAGGTCTTACCCTGGCGGGTTTACCACTTTTGATATCCACATGGAAATATTGTAATACCCCTTTCTGAGGGATTTTGATGTATAATTATTTTTTGAAGGGTTACTCCCCTTTCACGAATTGTAAAAGTTTGAGTTACTTCCCTTTTATGTTCAGGGATATTCTCATCTGGTATTAAGGTTTTGATTGGCTACATTTGTAAAACATTTTTTTTATTTTCATTGCCAGATTGGTTCCTTATGTATGTTTTTGTGGAACCTATCTGTCACTTCCAAAAAGGGAGGGGATGTGACCTACTTAGGTCCAGTAATGTTTTATTTTGACATTGTGTTAATACCATATATGGATTGATGGTGCAACTACCGGGTATTTTCCACTGTCTTACTAAGAGTGTCTAAGACGTAGAAATTTTCCATCAAGATCTGATTGATTGATTCAGATCAGATGACCACCCCAACCAATGGCCACATGAGTTGAGGCTAATCTCCCCTGTCGCCTAAGTCTTTAACTAGATCGCCCACAGGCGACACGAGGCAGTCCACCTTGATCAAGCGGTCCATTACGACCAGGCCGTCCTTTTTGTCCGGCAATAGATTCTGACCATTTGAACGTGAGAGAGCTTAAGTCCTGAGTGTGCTATGCATTCCTAAGTTGTTAAAGTGTTCTAATATTATATTACTTGTCGCCAAGTGATTTCTTGATGCTATAGCAGTGTTATGTGACCTGTGGCTATTTTTATACAGTGTTAGAATCTGTGATAATATTTTTTCTTACGCTTTGTAAGTTGGGTTTTGTTATTTTCTAAATTAAATATTTTATCTCGTTTAACCTAGTGTTCTGCCACAATTGTGTTCGCTTATTAATGGTTGTATGCAGATTGGATGAGTTGTTAACTTCAATAGTATCACTAGTTTTCCCTAGACATCGAATCGAGCCCTAGTGTGTTGTTGAGTTAGTGTTCATTCATTTAGGCTGTAAGTCATTTGCATTCAACCCCAAAAAAAGAATCCGGGGACGTTCACCTTCTATCTGGCTGGTAGATAGGTGTCCGTTACACTAGAATGAGGCTGAGTTAAATATTTTAAAAATTTCAAATCCTACTCTTATTATAATTCATGTTTTACTTTTATTTTTTATTTTAAGAAGCTGCATTGTTGAATTGATATTATTTAAGTGTTATTAAATTTCGAAATGTTTGAAAATATAGTTGGTTTATTTGAGTTAAAAATGTAGGAATGTAATTTGTGGCAATTTTAACGGTTGATGTATAGGGCCTATGTAATTATGGATGTGATTGTGCGTAATAGCTATGGGTATATTGGAATTTGTGTTGAATGAAGTGTAAATGTGCGAAAAAACATTAGTATAATGTTATAAATCAAGTACGCATTTAGCTTATGTTAATTAAAAAGTTTGGGGGTCTGTTAATTTGAACGGAAGTTAGAGTTAAGGGGGGAGTCTATTATTCGCATCATATTCTTGGAAGTGATAATATTAATTTTCTGACGACGTCTGACTAGCGGAAAAGGAAATAAGAACGTTTAGGAAAGTTGATAAAAACAACATGTTTATTGCTCCCGATCATTCCCCCTCCCCACCCAATTGATTACCCTCATGTACACATCCCCACCCAAACAGTTGCAGTAGGACATTATCACCAATCAAGTACTCAACTGTCATTTTAAGAGAGGGATCCGGATGGGGAAAGCTCAATGATATTTCAAAAGTAGGTTGGTTATAGGTATAGGTTTAGATTAAAGTTTATGCTTATGTTTAGGAATGTGTGTAGGTTTACGTGTAGGCGTTTATGTTAATGTTTGTGGTTGTGTTTAAGGCTATGGTAAGGGTTGGTTTATGTTTATGCTTATCTTTTGTTTGCTTATGTTTTGAGGCTGTAGTGAGGGTTAGGGTTTTTTAAATATTTGTGTTTATGTTTGAGTTTATGATTTTGTTTTTGGGAGGGGAGGAGAGAGGGTTTACGTTAATGTTTGTGGTTGAGGTGCTGTGAATGTTGGTTTATGTTTTTGTTGTTGTTTATGTGCATGGTTGAAGTTTTGGCGAGGGTTAGTGTTTATGTTAATGTTTGTCTTTGTTGTTTTTTCTGTCTGTGTTTGCAGTTGGTTGTGGTTAGAGATAGGTTTAGGGTTATATATATATATATTCTATATTTGTAAATTGGAAATTTAATATATTCACAAAAACCGGGTAGAGCTTGGCATATGATGCTTAATAAATAAACAAGTCACAGTTTTTACTTACATATACGTTTTTTCGCGAAAGCCAGCGCTAAGCCTGACCGGGACGGCTAATATTATAAAAAGTCGAATACGGGAGAGTTGTTTATGTGTTGTTGCAATGTAGTGAATGAACTAGGTGGGGATAGGTCCTATATATTATGTATATTTTGTGCACTATTCATAATTTGATGTTTCCAATAAGTACTGTTTACTATAAACATTTTGTATTATTGTAAACCTTTCATTTTCCCTGTTTAACTTATATCCCGTACGGACTTTTTTTCAAAACCACTCTTTCGTCTGTACTGACTAATTCAAATTAAACTAGTTTGTTTTAAGATAGGTCTTTAGTTTTTAACAAACACAGTTAATTGAGTGGTGCACCAAATACAATTTAAAAACATTGTCATCTATTCAAAAATGTTAGTATAACCTAACGGGATACTCTTTTTCCAATATGTTAAGGTTTTTTTTAGTTCATGTTTCTTTAAATGTTTGTAATAGATTACGGTAATTTATGTTTTAAATAAAATATGTTACGTCACTTATGTAGCCAGACTAAACAGTTTACCAACAATGGCAAGATCTGTTCCTTACAAGGAAGGAATGCTAATTGGAGATCTTTACGATGGAAAAATTTGTAATATTGTAAGAGACTGTCAATACAGAGTTCGAGGGTCAACTGATTTAAATCGAGAAACAACGGTAAGCAGAATTAAATTCTACAAAGCTTATGTATCATCCATTGTGGTGAACAGCTCAGAATTCTAGGTTTACTTTTAAGTTAATTTTGTGTAATTGAATCTGTTAAACATTTGATAAAGACAAAAAAGTTTACATATGTAATGTATAGTAGGAGGCAACCGCTTCAACGGATTAGATATTTTATTTAAACAACCAGGTCAATGAATGGAGTTCTTGCTTTTCTCTGGTGGAATCTTTTGATGATGTCTGTGATGTTTTGATGATACCTAAAGAATACGCCCTTAAGGCTCAGACTAGTCACATCCAAGACGAGATGGTGAAACAGGCGCTGCTTGGGCTCGAAGCACCAAACTCACTGATGCTTATTTTAAGACAAACTTTTGTTAAGGTAAATGTGGAATTCAATTACTTTTTTTTTGCAATTTCCATTTTTCTTCTTCATGTATAAGTGTGGGCTTGAGAGATTGATACTATTAGCATTTATAAATCTTAAAGCGAGATTTTGTTTTTGGACAATTGTCACAAATGTAATTCATGCTTGTCTCAAGAAGTATGACGAGAAAACTAAAAGAACACATTTAGTAGCTGAAGGTGAGGGACAGCCTTTTCCGAATACTTTATGCACAGTCAATGAGTGCATACAGAAGTTATTATTCACACAAACTATACAAACAAATGTAGTTATATAATGTGATGCGAAGTAATAAAAACATAATACGATAGTTTTATTTACTTTAAAGGTTGTCATGATAAATTTATAAAGAATTTTAATCATTTATAATTTTAAGTTACAGGTTTACATTTTATTGGTTTCCACAGCAAAGAATTAGTTTGCAGAGGGACGATTCCTCCCTTACGGAACATTACAGAGATTTTAGATCAGACAATGGCCAACAAACAGCAACACATTGGGTCAAAGGTTTCGACGTTGGTAACGAGATCATTGTAATTTTACATTTCTATGGCACTGGTAAGAAATCGATTAACATATTGATACTTGACCGACGTGAATGACATTATTTTGTTTTCTTTAACGAATTAATAGGTGAGTTGTTTCCTTTAATAAAAGGAATGACTTATAAAAATGTAATAGTAAAGATATAGTAAAAAAAGTGAAAAATCTCGCCTCCCACTTTATTTTCAAGTAAAAAACTCAAAATTACCACGTAACGATTAAATACTTAAGTATCAGTGCGTGTATAATGTGCTTGTTTTGTCAGTTGTGTAGAGCTAACGGTCAGCGACACAACAAAAAGGGAGAGAGGCGGTTTCTTATGGAAACACATGCAGCGTAAAGTTGAGTAAAAGTAATATAATGACGTCACGTTGATTAGCCGAATTTACTCGAACCCATATAGTCGTTGATAGCTAGACAGCCACAAATGAAAGTTAAAAGTTCGGTTGAAGCATTTTTAATTTTTAAAAAGTATGACGGCCTGTAATCTCTGACTCCTTATGAAAAATATTGGTAAAAAAATCTTTAAAATCGAGATGCATGTTATACAGCGTCCCAGCACGATCACTCTTTCAATAAAGAACAATGTTAGATAGTCTTAGCACATTAACACGGTAAGTTTACACTAAAATTCAAAATTTTTGTGGACGTCATAAATGGATGACCCCTAATATGAAAATAATAATAAATTACATTAATTTAGTCGAAATACATTAACTAATCTTTGCATTTGAATTGCAATGTAGAAAAAGACGAAATCGATGGAATTAGAGAAGAGTTTATGGACATTCTGAAAGAACAAAGCGAAGGATTAACGGAGGCAAAAATACTGAAAAAACTTGAGAAGAATGCAAAATGGATTGATAGAAATTTAGAAAAAAAATTGTTTAAAGAAACTAATTGTAAGATACATATCAATGGTCCCAATTCAATAAGCAAAGTAGAAGAAACAGTTAAATTACTGAAAACTTTTTATGAGTCTAAAAATAAATGGATCGATATAGAAGAATTTACTACCATTTCTCGGAAGAAACCGCTTCAAAAGACAGATCTCGAATGTGGTGAGTTATAAAACAGCATCCTTATTACCGAAATGTATATCAGTGTTATATATATATATATATATATATATATATATATATATATATATATATATATACGTAAGTTTTCTTTTTTGGAAGATATAAACCTACATTGTTACCAACAACTTCAATTAATATATTTCATATTCTGCTAAATAACATTTCATTATTCCTAAATCTGTCTTTGCTTCTCTTACGCACACAGAAATACAAACGCGCACATCCGTACACGCACGTACACCCACACACGTGCCCACCTACAAACACACATACATATGATGTGTTTTTTCAGTTAAGAGCGAAACTAACACATTTCCAGAGGCTGAATTTTTCAAGCTCAGAGCTGAAATAAAAATGTTTAATAATAACGGTAGGCTTTTAATAAAAATGAAACTGTTATGTCAGCTTTTATATTTAAAAAAGTATTAGTCTAAATAATGAGATGACAAGATAAAGTTGAAATCTAGAACTGGGAAGACAAATCATTGTTTTTCAGATGCGAGGATTAAAAGTGTTGTCTCTGCTGACGGTCCAGAGGCTGGGAATGTTTACACGAATTTACACACATTGTTGGTGGGATGTTCAAAAGTGGTTCAAAAATTGGAGGCAAAAACAAATTACTTACTAATTAATTTATGTAGCATAACTATTATTACATAAATTATACACACACACACACACACACACACACACACACACACATATATATATATATATATATATATATATATATATATATATATATATATATATATATATATATATATATATATATATATATATATATATATATATATATTTACTAGGCATAATGGCTAGCTTCGCTTAGGTTTTCAAAAACAATTGAGAATTTGAATACTTAATTATTTAGAGATGGCTGAGGTGTGAGGTGCTTAAATTTAAACAGTAATGCTAATTTTAGAGAAAATGTTGTTGCTGTTGTTTGTTGTTTTCTGAGAAAACTTTGGAAAGTTCGCAATGTATGACTAAAATGGAATGAGAACTACAGAGGTTCCATGAACAGTATATCTCATAATTTATATTATATTGACTTTTAAAATTAATTAATTAATTAAATTAGGATACGTACCTTAATTAGCAACTAAATTTATTTCTAAAGCAAATACTACACTCCGTCATTTTCTGTTTATGTTTAAAATAGTATAAAATTGTTTGAAAAAATGAGTATTTTAAAAAAAAATATCTCCCTTGAAAATTGAACTAATGACGTATGTCTTTGTTTACTTTTTCACAAACAATTGTTTATAAAAAAAATACGTCATCTGAAAAAATCTAGCGAAGGGTTTTTTTCGACAGAAATAGTGTTTTTTTTTGTTATCCCCCGGGGTCGGTCTACGATATCGCAAAATATTAGGTAGATCGTTCGTCAATTTATTTATGTCTATTTCATATAAGGAGAATTTTACTCGCGGTCATTTTTTAGCCCTCGTTGAGGGCTTTAAGTCTGACCAACAGTTTTTCCATACGGTCTAATCATCTATAAAGTTTCATGCAAAAAATTAGACACATATACAGAGGTTAAGTACCCTAAGATTTGTGTTGAAATTACCCTATTTTTCACATAAAACACATAGATTATATAGGGACATACGACTGGTCAGTTTTGAACCATTTCCAGATTTTTCACGGATATGGCGAGTTTTTTCTGACAGCCTTAGGCGTTCTCCTATCAAATCACAAAATTTCAAGAGGGGTCATCGGTCAAAAGTTTTTTTCGTAATAGAGCTCATATAAAGAAAATTTCACTCGCGGTCAATTTTTAGCCCTCGTCTAGGGCTTTGAGTGAAATCGTCAGGTTTGCCCTACGGCCTAGCCATTTACCCAAGAGCATGCAAAAAAATTAACCTGGTGTACAGAGTGTAAGTATCCTGAAATCTTTGTTAAAATTACACTCTGTTTTCCCCATAAAATACAAAGATTATATAAGGAAATACGATTGGTCAGTTTTGACTCATTTCCAGATTTTTCCCGGATATGGCGAGTTTTTTGTGACACCCCTAGGCGTTCTCCTACCACCTCACAAAATTTCAAGATGGGTCGTCGGGCAAAAGTTTTTTTCGTAATATAGCCCATATAAGGCTCCGGTCAGTCGAGGTCAATAATAATGACGTCATTGATTATATATATATATATATATATATATATATATATATATATATATATATATATATATATATATATATATATATATATATATATATATATATATATATACATCTCCCTAGTCTAGTAGACAATCGGATGATTTCGCTTTGGAAATCAAAGCACAGATTTTGGGCCCTAAGTTGAGAAGAGCCAGATGTTGCCCATGTGTCAGTCCGCCTCTCACCACATATTTGATTGACCCGAGCGACTGGGCTTGTTTATACAGCTTGGAATCAGTAGTGTCGCATGAGCTGCCAAAAGGAAACTAGAGTTGGTAATCCTATTGTCTAAAGGGTTCCACTCCTGTTTGAATTCGTAGTTTTCTCTCCTAGATGATTTGCTATGCTCAAGGTTTCGAACTCGGGACTTATTATAATAGAGACATTTTTGGTCGATGTTACGGTTCCAAGAAATTTCTGTTACTGGAATAACGTCCTGTTCTGATAAAGGGTTCGGTTCGGGTTGAATTTTCGATTGCGATAAAAGTTCCGAATCCTGTAAATTTGCGGTTCAATTTTCGTTAAGTTTCAAGTTCCCGTTCCGGATAAATATTCTCTGCCGAAAAGAAAACACTCTGTTTCCTGTTTAAATTCGGCAAAGAAAAAAAATTCAGTTTCGGTTAAAGTTCCAGATTCGGAAGAATTACGGATCATGAAAAAATTCCGAATCCGCAAAGTCTCCCGTTGGTACCGAATACAATTTTACTTCCTTTTAAATATCTGGCTCATGCTAAATTTCCGTTTCCTGTTAAATGTCAGTTTCCAGTTAAACTGCAGTTATATATTATTACTGTATTCGTATAAATTGAGTTTTAGGTTGAAGTTGAGGTTAAGGTGGGGGATTTTGGTTTCAATTTAGAGATAAAATACAACACTAATAGCCTAGCTCCCGTTGTATTTCCTTTTTAAAAGATAATCTCCGTTTCCTTATTTTAAATTTTATTTCCTATTAACTTACGACAAAAAGAAAAAATAATCCGGTTTTGATTAAAGAATTCCGTCGTCGGAAGACATTCCGGATCCGTAAAGTCGTCCGATACCGGTTAAATTTCCGGCTTTTGGTATCAGTTAAATTTCAGATTCATTTTAAATTTCTGGATTTAGGATAAATTTCCGGTTCCTGCTAAAATTCAGTTTCCGGTTAAAGGGCCGTTTCGAAATTGCTATTGTTTTCGCTTGAACTGAATTTAATGTTTAGGTTGAGGTTAATGTTGGGATTTTGCCTTTTATTTCGATTTAGAGACAAACGCAGCTCCCGTTGTACTTCTCCCTCTGCACGCTAATTATCTAGTACGAGCGGACCCGCGGCGTATCATCCGCCGCTATTTAGTTGTTTTATTTTCTATTTTTCGGTACTTCATAATTAGTGAATTCGATACTATCATCCCTTCCATTTCCTTCCCGCCATCCGTGAAAGCAGCAGTCCGTGACGACAGTTTACGGACGGCAATGAAAATATCATGCAGAACTACTTACCTCTTCTTAGTTTCAAATCATTTAAAAGCTAAATTATCTGCCCTTAATAGCCGTTACTTATTCGACCCTGCTGTACGATTGGACTATATTCTGTACCTTTGTCTACCCTTGGCATTGAAATATCACTTTCTGTTTACATTGCTACAAAGACATTCAAAGAGCGGAGGACTAAGAATTGTTTTATTTAGCGGTTGATTAAAAGTTTTAGGGAAATAGAATGTTCAAACTCACTGGTGTATCTTGTCATTTCTGATCATGATTTTTAATATAGTAACATATATTCTTACGGTAAAATAGCTTATGAAAAAAAATTGTTTTCATTTGTTTATTTTTAATTAAAAAAATGGTTACATTTGTTAATAACTATATAAGTTGCATCTATTTTCATACCATGTAACTTTTGAGAAAATCCATACAGTGTTTGCTCTCGAAGAAAGAATTCCTCTTTATTGTGAAAGAAGATGCAAGTGCACACAAGAAATCTTTAATCCAGCTGGCAAAGAAAGCTCAAATGGTTATAGCACAACTTGACTTACAGTTGATAGATATAGAAGACCTGGGTTGGGTCAAAGATGAAAAAAATCGACCAAATGTCATTGAAGATTATATTGATGTAGGTTGCGTTATAATTACACTGGCATTTTATATTACTTCTCTTTCATCTATTTAACATAAACTAAATTTTCTTTATAAACAAAAGTAACAGTAGCATGTTAATACTTCTAATAAATACACTAACATTTTATATAACTTCACTTTCATCTACTTAACATAAAATAAATTTTCTTTATTAAAAAAAGTAACAGTAGCATGTTAATACTTCTTAATTTTAGTGTTGGAAGGAATTACCTCCAACACAATTAATTTGTTACTTGTCATATAAGCCATTGACTTCGATTTCAGCCTGCTTTACTTTAAGATTTGCTTCCATAGTCCTTGTCCAACGAAGTACTAACTACAAGGCAGCTTTTTAAATTTTGCAATTGCCAGCTATCGAGCCTCATGTTTTCGGGGGTTCGAATTCGAGACTTTTCGTTTTATCAAACATGAGCTTTACCGAATCGACCACATCGACATTCATTGAAAGTTTCATGAAAAATGGTATAGAAAAAGCATTACATTAGCTTAGCATTAGTTTCTTACCGAGACTACTTACACTTTTATATGTGTCACTTCTCTCCCCACACTTCTCATTTTGAGAACACCACAAACCCTTATTTGCATTGTGTAGGAGTATTCGTATGTGCTTGTACTTGCGAATGCACATTGCTTTGTATTTGTATACTGTGCAATTTGTGCTGTTATATAACACATTTGTCTAAATAATAGTACACATGACGCTTCTAAATTAAATGTATTGGCTATTTAAATATATTATGTGCTTAATACAACATAATTCTTCACATAGCTTAAAATGTTTCACAAACTTCTGGAAATCTTAAAGGAAATTGTCACAATAGAAATGGTTCAAAGATTTTCCACAAACCGGTAGACACACAGACCTTAATATAAATTTATAAAAAATAAATTTCCTCTTTTTCTTTATTTAACAGATAAAAACCCACACACTTCCTCCAGGTGATGACATACAACTAATCGTAGTTGGGAAAAGTGGTCACGGGAAAAGTACAACAGCAAATCGTATTTTAAGAAAAGAAGTATTCACAACAGGTTCAGGATTTACCTCGATTACCAATGATTCAAAAATCGAAAGTTCATTAGTTGATAATCGCTTTCTAACATGCGTTGACACTCCTGGAGTCTTTGATTCACAACTTGGTGATGATTCAACAATATACTCAGCCATGATAGAAGCCATTGGTAAAGGAATTTCGAGGTGCAGTAAAGGTTTTCATGCAATCATAATTATTATTAGCTATAATACAAGAATCACGCAAGAGGAAATAAAATGCATTGAGATGCTGCTATCATTTTTTGGGAAAGATGCTCTCAAATCACATGGAATTATCGTGATGACTTACGGAGATAACTTCAAAACGGATGAAAAGAATACCAATCTATCATTCATTGATTGGCTGAGCAGCCAGGAAAATAAATATGCTCAAGATCTATTACAACAATTCAATAATCGATGCGTATTATTTGATAATTCAACAAAGGATGTGGAACTGCGACAGGAACAATTAGTTCTTCTGATAAATCACATAGATAAATTGGGGGGTTCACTCTTAACAAATGAGTTATTTGCAAAGGCACGAGAACTAAGAGCAAGCTTTATTAAAGACAGCATCTATTTAGAAGATATATTTATACATGCTTGTGATTCAATCTTTAAAGATTTGAGTGTGTTAAAAAATAATGCAACTATTGAAGAAAATACTGTTAAAAAAATAGAACGTCTTTACCTAATATTAGGAACCCCAACATCCGGTGAAATAGTTGCACTGCACATAGCTTTGGGTGATGTTAAATCTGAATACAATTGGAAGATGTTTTCAGCCCAGGCACTTATTAAAAGTGATAAGGCTGTTCAATCACTACTTAAATGCTTAACAGGAATTGTTGACAAAAATGAAAAGACTTTATGGGAGGTATTTAAAGAGCTTGTAAAGTTAATACCATGCTTCCCCGGAAGCTCCTTAGCTTACCTTGAATGTGGAAGAGCTATCAAAATAGAAAACTTGACGACCGGAATGAAAGTTTTAGCTTTTGATGAAAACAAAGGAATTATCTACGATGAGATCTACATGTTTGGGCATCAAGAGAAAGATGTTCAAGCATTATTTGTTGTACTTCAAACTGAATCTGGACAAGTCACACTTTCACAAGATCATCTTATTTTATGTAGAAAAAACAACAAGGAAGATTTTGTTGCTGCAAGTGTTGTCGGAGTCGGAGATGAACTTCTTACAAGAGCGGATCCAGGCTTTGGTTGGTCTAAGGTGGTAAAAATAACCTACAAATTGGAGAGAGGCATGTACGCACCTTTCACTAGAAGCGGCACAATTGTGGTTGACAGTGCTGTGGCTTCCTGCTACATTGATGTGCTACCACATCACGTTAGCCACATGATGCTGTCACCTATGAGATGTCTGTACAGGATGTCACCATCAGTGTTAAGTCATATCAACGGTGCACCTGATGTCTATCCGGTTCCACCTTGGGCACGTGCAGCGCTCAAACTTTTGGGATACGATAAAAGAAAACACATAAAAGATGAATGAAGCTAGCACACACCAAATACTAATAGGTAGTTGGCGTGAAGTTCCATTTCTATTTAATGATGCTTAAATGTAGCAATTTTTCTTTTAATTACTGACACAACAGAATACAATTTTATACATTAAATTTGTAGCTTTATAAAAATCGTGTGATATATATTATTGCTATAAAACGCACGCTTAGTAAATTGAAAACGAATGAACCCCATGACTACACAAACTGATATGTGCTAACTATAACTTATATATATATATATATATATATATATATATATATATATATATATATATATATATATATATATATATATATATATATATATATATATATATATATATATATATATGTAATAAAAATATCTTAACGAGAGAATCGTATACCATTATAAAGTGAAAACTTTAAAAAATTGTTCCTAAGAAAGTATTTTCAAATCACAATATAATATTGTAATATAATTTTCCAACCATAATTACCACTAATATTCAGCAATAAAACTTATACACAATTCTATTATTTCTGTTAGCTAACCTTTAAAAAACCATAATTTGCATAAAAATGTTTATTGAATTAATTAAATGCAAATAATTATTTTTTAATTACATGATTTACAACATTGTAGAAAGAATTTAATTAGACCGAATATATTATATTTTTTTATGCTTGCAGACCATCACACATTGTACATTTTAAAAGGTATTCATGTGGTTGTTTTAAAACATTTAAATTTAACGAAACTGCATTAAATATAAATAAATGTTATTCGTTATTTAACACCAAAAAAAACATGTTTATTGTCTTCATACTATGTTTTTGATTACTATTTTTAGCTAATATCACCGACACGTTTTTTATTTCTAGCCGTGACCATAATTATGACTTAAGCCTTCACCTTAGTTTTGTTTCAAATTATAGCCTTAACCTTAATCCTGATCTTAATAGCAAATAACACCACTACATGATAGCTTATGGTCCTGTCGGCGTTTTTTTTATATTAAAACCATTTCTTATGGTAGAACTAGGCCTATGTACATGCTAAAATTAAATAAACAGAAATGAGGATGTAATAGGATGTAATAGGATGTAAGATGTAATAAGGATGTGTTGTATAATGAAAGCATGAAAGAGATTGTTGCGGTGATTGTATTTATCTTTGAGTTAAAGTTTTTTTTGCCGCGGTGTACTTGTGGTTTCTTCTTTTACATATAATACACTTTTTTAAAGCAATAAACGCATATATCTATCATTTTATACATTTTCGAGTTCAATATATTATAATCATTGTAGTTTTATTGTAGTTTTATGTATTTATAGAAACCGTGAATGTGCTTGGTTTCATTGTTTTACATAGAAATTCCACGGCGATACGTGAAAAATTGCCTTGGGTAATTAACCTGCAGCGTTAAACTATTCACGACTAAACTATAAGCTTGCTTATATTTTACAGACTAAGGTTAAAGTCAACTGTTAGAGATATCACTTCAAAGGCAAATATATATTTAATATTTGCCTTTTTCTTGCACTTATCTGCAAAATGAATATTATAAATCATAATGGATCTGTCTAGACAGAGAACAAACCTGCCGGGACTTATTTTAAATTTAAACAAATCTAACAATGGCAATAATTGTTCAAATATCATTTGAAGTTATCATGAAATGCGTGTCTAACACCGTGTTTACGCTTAGGGTTAGAGTTGACTTGACCTACTTAAATGTATACTAAACATGTTTTGGATAAATAAACATCTTCTAGATTGCAGGGCACAAAACCACGTCCCTTTTTGTGTTCTGGAACAAGTTTTTTTTTGCTCCTGAAGGAAATCATTCAATGTTTTAATTTTCAGATGGAGCGCATGCAGCTTATAGCAAAATGTAACTCAAATATAGTAGGCCTACTAATATTGATTACTTGGGAACATACTTTTGAAATTTATAACTTCTCTACCAAAGAAACATAATTTTTTAATAAGTACAATTGAATAATAACAAGTTATAATTATTTAGGTTTTTAAATGCGACATAAAACGTGTAGAGTTATAACCCGATCTCAATACTTGGCGATCCGGCAGACAAATATTTATTACTTCAAATAATACAAGCTGTTCCAGATGGATATAAGCAAGCAACGAAGCATTGTATGTTATAAAACACTTTGACTTCAAAGACAGAAAATATAGAAGCATTGTAGCAAAACATTCTCCTCCATTCAAGTAGTAAATGGTGTTTTTTAAATTATTAAACGTCTTTTTCTTCTTTTTATAATATTCATTTGATTTTATTAAATTGGAAATAAAATTCTGAGAAGGCACATCAGAAAATAAAACGCTTCTTCTGTCACTTAATATCGTAAAGTGACAGAAGACTGAGGAAATGGCTACTATGAGGTGGGGGTGGGGAGGGGTGAATTCTACTGCATGTTGGGGGTAGGGTAAAAGTGTTTGGGTAATGTCTTAGAGACGCCCGGCAATCTCTTGTCAGCAGCCTAAGTTCCAGGAGGGGCGACAGGCTAACCTAAACTAACCTGATGTCTTAGACCCCGTACTCTCATTTATAATATTATTTTAAAATCAGTTGCTGACACTCCAATAAAATTTCTGTAATCTTGCATCTTTAATTTTTGGATAACGTGTTGTTAAATAGTGTGCAGCAGAGCTATACCCTTCTCCTTTAAAAAAAAATAAAGTTGCGTTTTTTCATTGATTACTCTTTTTATTGACTTTCTTAACTTCTGAACCTAACCTCTAAACTCTAACCACTAACTCCTAATCCTTATCCCTACGCTTAACCCTAATTAAGATCTAATGCGTTAACAAATAATCTAATCACATTGAGTATTTCTTCTATCATTTGTATATATATATATATATATATATATATATATATATATATATATATATATATATATATATATATATAAGGTAGGCGGACCCTTGACTAACGGTGCTTAGACCATAGGTGGTTTGACCGAATCGGAGCTTTGTTCACACGTGTATTGTCCATATTTGGTAAGGATTAACTAACATTGGTTAAACAGTTACATAAAAGTTGCATAATTATATTTTACGTACGGACATTATGTAATAATATAATTATTTATCGTGTATAATATACGTCATTTACATAATTCAAGTCTAAACCATGGAGAATCTTGAAGAGTATAGCACGTCCGCATACGGACTGCAAGTGACAGAGTCAACTTTCCGACAAGGTGTCGCAGCAGCAGCTATCCAGCTGAGAAGCGATAGTTAACCATATTGTTGAATGATTTTTATCCTTTAAATATGCTATGTAATTTAAAGTAAATCTACCTTATTTATTTGTGAAACTTTTGTATATGTCGCAATTACTTTTTTTCAATTTATGTTTAAAATAAATCTATTACACCTAGCATCAGTCTTTTTGTGGATTAAAATAACTATTGATTTTTTTAGTACATATAAATATTAAGATACCTGTATAAAGTTGTATTAATTGTATCATAAATTAAAAAAAAAATTAAATAAAATTAGTCTATTATTGCTATTGATCAAAGCCGCGCTGTGGTCAAATTTGGTTTTCTTGTGTTCCATGGTGGAACTTGTTTTTTTTTCTATATTAAAAAAGTTAATTAAAGTCTCGAAATTATTTTACGTGTGTTGATGTTATTTGATCAGATTGTAACATGTTCTTTTTCTAAATTATCACAAAAATTCAGTCATTAATTTCATCACTTTACGTTGATTTTATAACAGTCACCACCATCTCATATTTTACGTATAAGTGTATTTTTTGTAAGAGTTGAAAAAGGTCTAAACATTTAAATTCTTCTCCCTCTGTTCTTAGTTTTCTTGTGTCTTATTCTGCTTGTAGTCGCGATCAGAAAACTGAACAACGCACACGTTTCTCTGGATGCAACCCATTTAATTTTCTACTGACGTGTCACCCAGTTGGATAGTGACAGCCGGTGTGGTATGCAACCCTGCACAACAACAGACGACTGACCTTGTTACTGCGCATGTCCTGTTATCTTGAAATTATAGGAAAACTTACTCGCCGTTTTCTGGGAAAACATTCGCTGTGTACTGCGCCGTCACCTGATGTGTAGAAAATCTGGTCACAGCTGGTTGCTTAGTTTTTATACACAGTGAATGACTCACAGTGTGTGCATGTAAGTTAAATAAAAACTTCACTTTTAGATAGGTGCGAATTTACGATCATTTCTTTACAAAACATGATCACCTTTTTTTTTTAACACGTTTTTCTTAACTCAGCTTCGCGTTTGTTTGTGGGTTTGTTGTTAAAATTGACAGCGAAAATTAGCCCACTTCTGATTGCTCTAGAGATCTGAAATTCGGCATGCAGGCTATTTTCGCCTAACAATTTCAGATGCAATCATAAAAACTAGCAATTAGAGACCTAAATTAGCTTAATTAAATTACGCCCCAAGGACCCTAAAATTGAGGACATGATTTCTAAAGATACCGACAAGACTGGAGGCCTATTGACGCAGTTACTTCGGCCCCAATCGATGTGAGCGCGCTGGCCGTGATCGTATAGTGGTTAGTACTTCGCGTTGTGGCCGCGACAACCCAGGTTCGAATCCTGGTCACGGCATTTGATGACAAAAAACGTGGTTACGTTCACCATCAAATTTCCAAAATTCGTGTCATCAAATGTCATCGCCTAACAATTTCAGATGCAATCATAAAAAACTATCAATTAGAGACCTAAATTAGCTTAATTAAATTACGCCCCTTCTCTGTTTAAAGCGTATCGGTCGCTCAAGATTTTTAGTCCGTGTATTTAAAAACACTTAGTCAAGTCATACTTAATCAAGTCATTAGATAAAGTAGAAAATAAACTATATAAAAAACTTTTTAAAAACCACGTTTTTCATGTGTAGCAACGGACTAAAAAGGTCGGGCAGATGGGTCGGGAAATTTGATGGTGAATGTACCCACGTTTTTTGTCATCAAATGTATGAACAGTCATCACAAGAACCTGCACAGCTCGAGGAAGCACAAAATCTACGAGCAGTCATTGGTAGATCCCCTAGGGTCGGAAGAAAAATTTATTTTCTACTTTTTAGTCCACAAGAAAAACGTGTTTTTTTTTTTTAATTTTTTAAGTATTTTATTTTTTACTTTTAACTGGTACTGGTTAGAATAAAAGCGGGCTTGGATAGATTTAAGGTTAACGTTAGGGATGTGTAAAGAGATATATGTATACCATTTTGATTATTTTTTTACCCGAACACCCGTGTTTCTTTCAGCATCTCTTCGTGGTGGCACCCCTCGTCAGCCCCCATCCTCACCCCCATCACACAGGTTTCAGGTGCCCCCTCCCCCGTAGAAAAAACTAGGCCGAACACCAGCTAGATCTCTATGTTCCATAAAACACAAATGTGCACTTGTAAAGGCCGTAACTTACAAATTTCATTTTGAAGTATTTTAAATTTTAAGTTTAATCATCTAGCTATTAATTATGCATACTATAAGTTACAACACAAATACAAATTACGACCATCCTTAGGCTTTCGATTCCTGTAACTAATACTACATGATTGAGAACGAACACATTTATTAAACAAAATAGCCGTTCGGGCCAGGCCCTGCACTGGCCTCTGTGAAAAGGCCACATACACACACGCAAACTAACACAAAAACCCAAACGCAAACACAAACCTAAGCACAAACGAAAACACAAAAGCGAACGCAAACATAAATGTAAATACAAAATAAAACACAAACACTAACGCAATTACAAAGCAAACCCAAACACAAAAACAAGTACAAATGCAACATAACACAAACACAACCCAGACACAAATACACACACAAACGCAAACGCTCTCTCTCTCTCTCTACCTATATCAACCCTCCAAGTTGAAATGTCATTTTCTGTTTGTATTGTTATTTCAGTAACAACGCCCTCTACACGTTTAAAAAGAAAGACAAACGCAAACACACACATACATAGCGTTTTATATATATAGATAGAAGAGAAGTAATTGCTTTGTAATCTAAAGGAACTTATGAGTACCACTTTTTTTTACTATTTAAAAAGGGAAATAAGTGGTTAAACACGTTTGCCTATCTTTAATACTACAGCTCATGTAAAAATTAATTTACGCAATAGAGTGTTTTAGCTACTGTAGAACATCATTACTGTAGTAGATAGTTTTTTTTAGAAAACCACTATCAAGGTGCACGAAAACGTAACTTTGGAATGCATACTCATTGCTTTTTAGTCGGATTTTGGTCCCCTAAATGCCCCCCCCCCCAACTGCATTGTGGGGTCTGGCGGCATGGTAGTTCCTCCCCTGCGCGAAGCCCACACCGTTTACCTGTTGGCGATGCCTGCCTCTCTATCGATCGATAGACACTTCTCCTACCTGTAACTATAAACTTTGTACAGTATTTACTGCCGATAAAAACAGATAACACATTTTCTAGAAAAATGTGCAAGAACTTTTGTACATGATAATGGTACGAAAATTCCACTAATTTCAGATCGAAATTTATAGACCAATAAAATTGGCATGTAATTATAACAATGTTTATAGTAATATAATTACCTCGACGAATCGAGGAGGGGGGTATGCTTAAGTAGGTTTGCACCCTTCCCTTCGACCCAACAAGTCTTAACGATTTACAGTGCGAACTGATTTATCTTATAAAACTAATTTGTTTTCTATGGGGTGGGTGGAGTGAGGAGGGGTGGGGTGGTGGTGCTGGGGTGAAAGTGTGAAGGGAGGTGTTCTAAGGATCAGCCATTATTTGTGGGTAAATTTAAAAAAATTGAAATTTATTTCTTAATTGCTTGAATATCTTATACCTCTATGAGTAATCAAAGTAAGGTCAGAGAAATATTAATAAAATTATATGAAAAGAAATTGTCCAATACCCCGCCCACACAACCTTTATATTTCTCAATGTGTGGTAAGCCTCTTTTGGTTAGGGGTCATCTATTTATGACGTCCGCATGATGTATGGTTAGGAAATCAATATGTGTAGCTTGGCTGTATTATATATTCCTTCTCAATAGCCAAGCATCGATCAACAAATCACGTGTGGATAACTTTTATTTTCCTAGAAAATGTATTTTTCAGGAAAATAGTGGGTTAAAAGAAGAATAATTTTCTTCGAGTCCCATTTGACGTAGTGGTGTAGGCCTAAGCTCGCTAACCAAACTGCAGAAAGAAATGTATTTCATTTATTAGGTAAGTTACATAAAATATACACTTAATTAAGCTATATGGAACGGTGTAACCTACCGTTATAGTGCAAGACGGCTAACCCGAAAATCTCGAGTTCGATGCCGGTTTCAAACCAGAACGTCCCTGAGTCCACCCAGCTCTCATGGGTACATGACTCTCCAGGCATACGCAACAGACCATATCGCTATCACCCCCACTTGTCTGGTGAGCCTTGGTTCATGTCGAATGTTTACAATCGTAGCGCCGGGTCGAATAAATGACGGCTATTAGGGGCAGATCATTTAGTTTTTAAACGACTTGAAACTAAGGGGAGTTAAGTTCTGCTTGATCTTTTCATTATCTTCTATAAACTGACGTCACGGCTGCTTTCAGGCATTTCTTGGGGGGGGGGGGGTGCGAGCCCCCCAGACGAAAGTCTACCGCCCACGCCCCTAACGAAATTGAATCTATATAGAAAATATATTATCTATCTATCATATCTTCCCGGTGCCGCAGGCGCTTCACATTTGGCATGAGTCTGCCTTGGGGCGAAAGAACACGAGAGCCGGTGCCGGTTGGCCAACAAGTCCACGTAGAGGGGGTCAAAACTGACCTCGACTGACCGGCGCCTTATATGGGCTCTATTACGAAAAAAAACTTTTGCCCGACGACCCCCCTTGAAATTTTGTGAGGTGGTAGGAGAACGCCTTGGGGTGTCACAAAAACTCGGCATATCTGGGAAAACTTCCTAAAGGGGTCAAAACTGACCAGTTGTATTTCCCTATATAATCTTTGTATTTTATGGGGAAAACAGAGGGTCATTTCAACGCGGAATTTAGGGTAGTTAAACTCAGTATATCTGGCTAATTTTTTGCATGCTCCTAGGTAAATGACTTCATCTTTAGGGTTAACTGTCGGTTTGAATCATAGCCCTCGGCGAGGGCTAAAATATGACCGCGAGGGAAAATCTCCTTATTTGAGCTATATAACGAAAAAAATTCTTGCCGAACGACCCCCCTTGATATTTTGTGAGGTGGCAGGAGAACACCTAGGGGTGTCAGAAAAACTCGCCACATCTGGGAAAAATCTGCAAATGGGTAAGAACTGACCAATCGGAATTCCCTATATAATCTTTGTATTTTATGGGAAAAGCAGAGTCATTTTAACATAAATTTTAGGATACTTAACCTCTATTTATCTAGCCATTTTTTTGCATCCACCTCTATAGATGACTAGGCCGTATGGAAAAACTGTTGGTCAGACTCAAAGCACTTGACGAGGGCTAAAAAGTGACCGCGAGTGAAATTCTCATTATATAAGATATATATAAAGAAATTGACGAACGATCTCCCTAATAATTTGTGATGTCGTAGACCGACCCCGGAGGATAACAAAAAATATTCCCGTCGAAAAAAACCCTTAATGTCGTTATATTTTTCCAGATGACGTATTTTCTTATAAACAATTGTTTGTGAAAAAGTAAACAAAGAGATACTTCATTCGTTCAGTTTTCAAGGGAGGTAACTTTTTTAAAAAATAATTATTTTTCAAACAATTGTATACTATTTTAAACATAAACAGAAAATGACGAAGTATAGCATTTGTTTCAGTAAAAAATTAAGTTATTAATTAAGGTACGTATCCTAATTAAATAAGTAAATTAATTTTAAAAGTCAATGTAATATAAATTATGAGATATACTGTTATGATATATACTCTGTAGTTCTAATTCCATTTTAGTCATACATTTCGAACTCTCCAATATTTTCTCTGAAAACAAAGAACAACAACATTTTCTCTAAAATTAGCATTACTGTTTAAATTTAAGCACTCCACACCTCAGCCGTTACTAAATAATTAAGTATTCAAATTCTCAAATGTTTTTGAAAACCTAAGCGAAGCTAGGCAGTATGCCTAGTATATATATATATATATATATATATATATATATATATATATATATATATATATATATATATAAAGCAATGTATGTGTGTCTCTGTGTGTGTGTGTTTGTGTCTTTTATGCATTTCGACACCTCCTATCACATAGCCGTTAAACTTTGGGAAATTGTTGAGAATATTCCTGGGGAGGTTTCTGCGAATTTTATTTTTCAAATTCGTAAGGGTGGCGCCCCGACAGGGCGCGATTTGTTTTTTCTCTATATACGGTATATAAATATAAAAGTCGATTTTTGTTTGACACCATTCATCCGATCGCCATCAAACTTTGGTGAGTTCATTAGAATACTCTGGGGAAGGGTTCTGTTTAAAAATAATTTTTAATTTCACAAGGGCGGCGCCACGGGAGGATGCGATTTTTCTCTATATACGGTGTACAAAAATAATAAAAGTGAATTGATCGTTCACGATCGCCATGAAACTTTGAGAAGATATTGAGAATATTCCTGGGGAGGTTTCATGGGAGAACGCCTTGGGGTGTCACAAAAAACTCGCCTTGTCCGGGAAAATTCGGTAAATGGGTAAAAACTGACCAGCCGTATTTCCCGATATAATCTTTGAATTTTATGGGAAAAACGGAGGGTAATTTCAAAATGGATTTTAAAGCATTTACTTTCTTTACATCTGGCTAATTTTTTGCAAGCTCTTAGGTAAATGGCTTGACCTTTAGTGAAAACTGTCGGTTTCACTCAAAGCCCTCGACGAAGGCTAAAAAAGGACCGCGAGTGAAATTCTCTTCATATGAGCTTTATTACGAAAAAAAATTTCCTCCGACGATCCCCCTTGAAATTTTGTGAGGTGGTAGGAGAACGCCTTGGGGTGTCACAAAAAACTCGCCATGTCCGGGAAAAATCGGGAAATGGGTCAAAACTGACCAGTCGTATTTCCCTATATAATCTTTGTATTTTATGGGAAAAACAGAGGGTAATTTCAAAACGGATTTTAGGGCACTTACCCTCTTTACATCTGGCTAATTTTTTCTATACACCTCTATAGATGACTAGGCCGTATGGAAAAACTGTTGGTCAGACTCAAAGCTCTCGAAGAGAGCTAAAAATGACCGCGAGTGAAATTATCATTATACGAGATTTGGTCATTTGGTCTATGAACAGGGGAGGTAACTTTATAATGTAATAATTTTTAAATATTTTGTATACTCTTTTTAAGAAAAACAAAACAAAAATCATAAAGTATAGCATTGTTTTAAATAAATATTTCGTTATAAATTAAGTTTAGCATTGTACTGAAATTGTAAAAAGTAATTGCGAAAGTAATTTAATATATTTGATTGTTACTATTAAGAAACCCCTTGCAGTTCTAATAACCTTGCGAGTAATAAGTTTGCGAATATTCCATCAAAATGTGAGTGACATGAAATTACTCTACTGTATAAATTTAGGCCCTAAGCATTTAACATAGCAGCCAATCAGCTATTAATTAATCATTCAATTCCTCAATTTTTTGAAAACCTAAGCGAAGCTAGGCAGTATGCCTAGTATATATATATATATATATATATATATATATATATATATATATATATATATATATATATATATATATATATATATATATATATATATATACGCTCTTGCGCACACACATACACAGTCCAGGATCTGAACTCAAGATTTAGCAGCCTTACCCCAACACCCCAAATTTTGTAATTTTTTTAACGCATTTTATTTTATTTCATACAGTGTGCCGGTAGGCCTAAAGTCAGTTTAATAATAAAAGTTAATAAACAATGGCAAGATTAGTTCCTTACAAGGAAGGAATGTCACTTCAAGATCTTTTTGACGGAAAAAGTTGTAATTTACTAACTGACTGCGAATACGTGCTTTCTGACTCAACAAATACAATTAAAAAAACTGTGGTAAGTAGAAAAGTAGGTTTAATAAAAACTGTTAAAAATACTCGTAGCCTTTTTTACAGCCTTTACTGTAATACCTGATACTGGTATAGTACGTATGTGTAGCCTTAAATGCCACACACAGCTCCCGCAACACCACAGCCATCGATCGGAACATATTCTCCTAATTTCTCCTCCCACTTAAAGACTTCCTAAATTTTAACCACCTTCGTCCCTTTTTAAAGTGAAGTAAATCGTTCATACCGTTCCTACATTTCTCGCCTTCCAGCAACCCTATTTCTTGTCTACACAGAGCCTTAAAACGTACCCAGATTATGAACGAATGAACGAATGAACGAACGAACGAATGAACGAACGAACGAATGAACGAACGAACGAACGAACGAACGAACGAACGAACGAACGAACGAACGAACGAACGAACGAACGAACGAACGAACGAACGAACGAACGAACGAACGAACGAATGAACGAACGAACGAACGAACGAACGAACGAACGAACGAATGAACGGATGAACGCATGAAAGCATGAACGAATGAACGAATGAACGGATGAACGAATGAAAGAATGGAAGAATGAAGGAACGAACGAACGAACGACGAACGAACGAACGAACGAACGAACGAACGAACGAACGAACGAACGAACGAACGATCGAACGAACGAACGAACGAACGAACGAACGAACGAATGAATGAAACGAATGAAACGAATGAAACGAAAGAAACGAATGAAACGAATGAAACGAATGAAACGAATGAAACGAATGAAACGAATGAAACGAATGAAACGAATGAAACGAATGAAACGAATGAAACGAATGAAACGAATGAAACGAATGAAACGAATGAAACGAATGAAACGAATGAAACGAATGAAACGAATGAAACGAATGAAACGAATGAAACGAATGAAACGAATGAAACGAATGAAACGAATGAAACGAATGAAACGAATGAAACGAATGAAACGAATGAAACGAATGAAACGAATGAAATGAAATGAATGCACATGTGCATGCACAGGCACAGGCACACATACATAAATAGTTGTATAATTACCATAGTTGATAAAGTGCAATGAATGTATTATAGTTGTTCACTGATTAGAATCAGGCTCGTCCGCCGGCGCCACGACAGGGTGCTGTTTGGCACCCCGGCCTTCACATGAGGGCCTTCGTTCGTTTTACTGAGTGCATTAGGCTACGGCTAAGGCGGGGTATTATAGTTGTTTACTAAGTTAAATTAGGTGGGATTTAGCGCCTGGGGCTATACTGTGAGCACTATGCTCCTTTTTTATTTGTGTTTATGTTCTGCGTTATTGTTCGCATTTAGGTTTGCGTATGCATTTGTGTTTGTGTTTGTGTATACGGTTGCGTTTATGCTTGTGTTTGTGTTTACATTTGTGTTTGTGTTTTTGTTTGTGTTTGCTTTGTGTTAGGGTTTTAGTTTTGGATTTGGATTTGTGTTTTCTTTGCTCTTTTATTTGCGTTTGTTTGTGGTTTTTTAGTTTATATATAGGTTTGCGTTTGTGATAGGGTTTGCGTTTGTGTTTGGGCTGTTGTTTGTGTTTGTATTTGTGTTTGCGGTGCGTTTGTGTTATGTTTGCGTTTTTTGTTTGTTTTTGTTTTTGTTGGTTGTGATTAGGAATTATTTGATAAGTATAATATTTCCTAAACCCGGGCAATGGTGGGTATACGCTGCTTAATTAACACACAAGTCATGGTCATTTACACATAGGTTTTTCACCGAGGCAGGGCCTGGTCGGGACGGCTAGTACTTTATAAATTCATATGCGTTTTTGAAATCCGAAATACATAGAATTAAGTACAGGACTGCTTTTTATTATTTGTGTAGTAAAATATGATGCTGCATACATAGATTACGTTTTCATTAAACAATCAAACAACTAGGTCAATGAATGGAGTTCTTGCTTTTCTCTGGTGGAATCTTTTGATGATGTCTGTGATGTTTTGATGATACCTAAAGAATACGCCCTTAAGGCTCAGACTGGTCACATCCAAGACGAGATGGTGAAACAGGCGCTGCTTGGGCTCGAAGCACCAAACTCACTGATGCTTATTTTAAGACAAACGTTTGTTAAGGTAAATGCTAAATTCAGTTCTCTTATTCTTTGACACTTTGTTTTATTTTATAATGATCATATATAATTCTATAAAAACATCGAGGTTTAAAATGACTAAATATTACGTTTTGGGAGATTTACAACCATTGGCCTTGATCTAGTGGCGGGGCTATTGAGAAGCAAAGCTGCCGGAACAGGGCTCTTCGACACTAGAGGACGCTAAAAGGGGTCAGAAATGTAAACGCTTTTCATAAGCTGACTTACTGAATAGTAAATACTTGAAGTCATTAAACTATAGACACACAATTGAAGTGGCTTTACAAACACATTGACCACTTTGCACATCGACTGTTAACCTTGAAAATAAATACGATTTAAAAAGCGCATTTGGCAATTCATAATCTAAATAATTTTCACTAAGAATGATGTGTATAGAAATAATGTAACACTTTAAAAAGAAAACATTTTGTGAAGGCAAGTTTTCGACAAAGTAAGTCAGGCACAGACAATACTGCTACGATATGAATTATTTTTAGAAGTCCCTAATTGGATATTTCCCAATTAGAAGGCTTTTGTAGACTTTGAAATGGCGTTTGATAGTATGAATAGATATGTCATCTTGAAGATAATGAAAGATTAACCCTATTTTTAGTATAAATCATAAAATCAGCTAAAATGAATCGAGTACAATGGAGATTCGTGGTTGATGATCCACATCGAGTAGTTATTACACTACTAAACTAACATTGTGACAAAATGTCGCCCCGTTTTACATGGTTGTAACTATGCGCCGAAAATTATCCATGCTACGAGCCGTTCAAAAATTTAAAGGCCTATGTTTATACAACATTGGTTAGATGATAGTTCCATGTTTTTAAATTCGTTTAAATGAATTTATTTCCTGATTTTCTTAGCAAAGAATTAATTTGGAGAAGAACGTTTCATCACTGGCGGAACATTACCGAGATTTTAGATCAAAAAATGGCCAACAAAAAGCAACACATTGGGTCAAAGGTTTAGACGTTGGTAACGAAATAGTTGTAATGTTACATTTCTATGGCACTGGTAAGCATCGAATTAACAAGTTGATATCTTTTTGTTAAAGTTAATTATTATTTTTAATATGTAAAATATACAATATTCACGTACGCAACACATTTAGGTATTGTTGTTGTTTATAGATACACAGGTAGCTTCAGGAACATAGACTCATTGTTTGGTTAATAACAAAACAATAACTTTTTGTATTCATAATAATGTTTCCATTTAAATACTTTATAGATGAGGTCAAGATTAATGTTGTTGAGAATACTCCGGCGGAGGTTTCAGCAAATATTTTTCGCAAGGGTGGCGCACCCAAAGGGTGCAATTTGGCACCCCGTGTTATCCCATGATCACTATATCGCCAACGTTCTTTTTAAACAGTGCGATATTCTAAGGATAAGATGGGACGTTATAGTCGTTCACTAAATTTAATCAGGCGCGTTCTACCTCATTATTACGAAAATTAATTGCGAAGGCTTTCATACACCACGCCCTGGGGTGTGCTGGGCTGTAGTTTTGGTAAAACCCGATCTCCGACAAATATTATCCAAGAAATAAAGCCCGGGCATTGTTTATATTTAAATAACTCAGCTATAGTAAACAAGATCTCACGTCCAAGAATACAGGATTGGTAACGCATTGATAAAACCTTAAAATATTTCGTTAGACTTTATTCTATCCCCGCGGCAACGTGCGGGGACGGGCATACTAGTTGGATATAAAATGTAAATTCTGTATGTGTCGTAAAATATACTATATTCACATACGTAACACATTTAGATATGATGGCTGTTTATAGATATACAAGTAGGATCAGGAACATAGACGCATTGTTTGATCAATAACAAAACGAGGTTAAGTTTTAGTATTCAAAGTAATGTTTCTATTTAATTACTTTATAGATAAGAGCGAGATTAATGGAATAAGACTTGAGTTACAAGAAAAGCTTTGCTCCAATAAAGGATCGATTGAGGAAAACAAATTAGATGCAATTTTTATATGTGCAGCATGGATCGATACAAATTTTCGTGCGACATATTTGAAAAATACTAAATGTATCATACACGTCAGTGGTCCAAATGCTGTTTGTATACGCAACACAACAGAGTCCATAAAGTTACTAAAAACCTTTTACGCGTTTAAAAAAAAATGGTCCAAAACAGAAGAATACACCATATGTTCTGCGGAGAAACAACATCAAATGGCAGAACACGAAAATGGTAAGTTAAAAAACGCCTACTCAATAGATGAACACTTTCTTTTTAACTTTAAAAAAGCAAAAAAAAACATTTGATTTATTTTTATACACTACTGCAGCCTTACATTTTAAATAAATATTTACAAATACCAACAATTTTCATGTTATGTTCGCTACAGTTTCATACGTGTTTTTATGTTTTTCAGTACAAGGTGAACCTTCCAAATTTCTCAAGACAGAATTTTACAACATACGAGTCAATTTACAGAACTTTGTTGAAGATGGTACGCATATAAAAAATGTATGTGTATGTGTCTACGCCGATGCAAAAAATTGCAATTTGTTGGTTTATAGATTTCGAATAAAATAGATTACACAACAATCTTCAACAACTCTAATAATTCTTTAATAACCATAACATACAGTGCAACGCTTCTCACCAAACTGAAGGTGACGGGAAAGATGCACACAATAAAAGTACGCAACAGAAAATTGCGCACTACAAGAGCGTAAAGGCATTTTGTTTTCTTAAATCGTGCATTTATTGACATTAACATAAAGGGACGTTGGAGTCTGGTTCTAGGGAAGCGATATATTAATGTTTAGCATTCTGTAGCGGGTTTTAAAATAATAGCATAATATGCAGAGACGTAGATAGGGGAGGGCGGATGGGCCGTTCTCCCAAGTCGCCGACCCTAAGAGGGCGCCAAATAAGCTTGATAAAATAAAAGTTGATTACGAGCTGCTTTACAGAATTATACAGAATCAATATTCATGAAATGACAACTTATTGGCTTTCGAGAATTGTTGATGGTTAAATATTTTTAAAAAGCGATTCTCAAATAATATAACGAGGTTCATTACTATATTCATTCTTTTTCTTTTATAATATATTTTTCACCAGGAAATATTTATATTCACATACATTTTAAAAGGAATCTCAAAACATAGAATGCTAAGAAAGTAGAAAACTGAAAGCTGGTACTGAAACAACTGATTTTTTTTCAGGTGCGTTGCTGACAGGGTCGAGTGTTATTTCTGCTGATAGTCTCGAAGCTGGGAATATTTACACAAATTTATATTCATTGTTGGTGGCATGTCCAAAAGTCGTTAGTAAATTAGAGGTAAAATACTTATATACTTATTCCCTTTTTACTTTCTCGTATATAAGAAGTAAAGAGAAAATTTGTAATCGTGCAAAAAAAAAAAAAAAAAAAAAAAACCCATCAAAAAACGAATTTTTGCAAATCTTGACGTTTTACAGTCCAAAAAATAGTTTTGCAATCTTGTCCGTATGTCTGTGTGTGTGTATGTGTGTGTGTCTGTCTGTAAACACGATAACTTGAGCTCCGTTACAGCTAGGTTGATGAAATTTCATATATAAGTATTATATCAAAATCGTAGATCCGTATCAACTTTTGAGCGGGTTCCGAAAAGCGAAAAAACTTTTCATACTTTGAATTTTTCAAAAGACTGTAACTTGAGTATTTTTTCAGATAGATAAATGAAATTTCACGTATAAGTAAAATATCTAATTCTCTGCCTTCTGTCAAATTTGGAATAATTTCTGTTGACCGGAGGTAGCAATTTACACTATTACCGATTTCTCAAAAAACGCATATGAATTTATAAAGTACTAATAATATTCCGCACTATTATGCACATTTTGTTTGGCATTCACTTGGTGTGCAATTCTTTTTTCTACGAGATTTCATTTTATTTTAAAAAGTTTAAGTAATTATAATGGATTAAAAATCATGTATATATCGTGATGCGCCATCTCCCGCAGTGTCAAATAAGAATATTCGAGAAAGTTTTAGGGAGATCACTCCCGGTTTATTAACGTATGGTATTTTAAACTTTTTGTATACATAACATCATATCACGTCATATATAATTATTTACTATTAAAAGTCAGGTTTGTTTACATGTTTGTATATTTATTTATTTATTTATTTTTATTATTTTGTTTGTCTGTTTAGTTACATGAGAGAATCTGCACTATGTTAAAAGCTCTAAAATAAGTATTTAGGTAGAGAATTACGTTTATTTTGACCAAACTCTTAATCAACAATTTATTTAAAGGCTTTAATTAATTTATTGATATATTCATTGGTAGATACACCGCTTTAATTATAAAACTTTACTTGTAGTGACATCATATGATTTTTTTTTACATTTTATAACACTAATGGCGGTTTCAATCACAGATTTTTTGCCCATTCAAAAGTTTAACGCATTATAAAGCTAATTTTCTGTCGGCTATAGCTTTAACGATACGTCAGTTTGTTATTTTTATTAGGGTCCAACACTATTATAAATTTTCAACAGTTCTTCTTATTTGTGTATACAATAAATAGAGATCAGCTGTCGAATGAAGAGAAAGTGAATCCTAGATCTAAAATCTAGAATTTAGGAAAAACTAAAATTTATTAGTTAAAAATAAAAATCATTATAAAATCACAAAAAATTATTGAGATTATTTATAAAACTATATTAGTCCTTAAATCTATATATATAAAGCAAAGTATGCGTGTGTGTGTGTGTGTGCGTATTTGTTTGTCTTTTATGCATTACTAAACCTCTTATCACATCGCCGTGAAAATTTGGGAAGTTGTTGAGAAAATTTCTGGGGAGGTTTCTGCGAAAAATCTCTTTCAAATTCGCAGGGGTGGCGCCCCGGCATGGCGCGATTTGTTTTTTTTTCTATATACGGTATATAAAATAAAAGTCGATTTTGGTTTGGCAGAGTTCATCCGATAGCCTTGAGACTTTGAGGAGTTCATTAGAACACTACCTGGAAGGGTTCTGCAAAAAAACACTTTTTTTAAATTTCGCAAGGGCGGCGCCACGGGAGGGTGCGATTTTTCTCTATATACATTATTTAAAAATAAAAGTCAATTGCTGTTAGACACCGTTCATCCGATCGCAATCAACTTTGGTGAGTTGATTAGAACACTTTGTGGAAGGGTGCTGTAAAAAATCATTTTTAATTTCGCAAGGGCGGCGCCACGGGAGGGTGCGATTTTTCTTTTTGTAGGTATATAAAAATAAATGTCGATTGCGGTTTTACACCGTTCACCCGATCGCCATCAAACTTTGGGGAGCTGATTAGAACACTCCAGGGAAGGGTTCTGTAAAAAAAATCTTTTTTAAATTCGCAAGGGCTGTGCCAAGGGAGGGTGCAATTTTTTCTATATACGGTATATAAAAATAATATAAAATAATTGAAGTGACATCGTTCACACGATCGTCATGAAACTTTTGGAAGATGGTGAGAAAACTCCTGCGAAGGTTTCTGTGCATAAACATTTTCAAATTAACAAAGGTGTCAACCCGGTAGGGCGCGATTTTTTTTTCAATATACGGTATATAAAAATAAAGGTCCGTTGCGGTTTGACATCGTTCATCCGATCTTTGGGGAGTTAATTAGGACACTTCAGGTGAGGTTTCTGTAAAGAAATCTTTTTTTTTAAATTTCGCAAGGGATGGTTCAATTTTTCTCTATATACGGTACATAAAAATAAAAGACGATAACGGTTCGACACAGTTTATCCGGTTGCCATAAAACTTTTGGGAGTTGATGAATACTCCCGAGAAGGCTTCTGGGGTGGGAGAGGGGGTGGGGGTGGGTGATGGTGGGATTTAAGTTTGCATTGGCGGCTCCCCGGCAGGATGCGATTTGGCGCCCTGGTGTTTCCCGTGAGCGCTATGGCAACTACGTTTGGTCTAAACAGTGTGATAGACAATGGATAGGATGTGACGTTACAAGCGCTCACTAAATTTATTCAGGCTTGTCCGCCGGTGCCCTGACAGGGTACGATTTGGCTGCAAAAAAAAAATTTCAGTTTCGGCCCCCAAAGGCTCATATAGGCCGCTGAGGGCCATGTAATACGTTTTATTTTAATAATCAGAAAACTTAACCAAGGTTAGATTATTACCTGGATATTTCTTTTTGTCCGTAAAAAAATCCAAATAGTTTCATCAATTAGCAATAAGCATCTATTTTTAGACAATCCAATAAAAAAAAGAACATTAGTAACGCTAACATATTGCATCAGTCACACTGATGTTTAAAACACTTCAAATCATTTTTTACGTGTTAAAGAAAACATTCTGTTCATTTGTGTCACTTTATGACGCAATCTGCATCATTGTTAAAAGGATGCAATTTGGCACTATTGCGCCTGTTAGTTTTAAAGAGCCAGGGGCCGTACGCGGCGCCGAAGTGTGTTCTACCTCATTATTTCGGTGAGTGATTAATGTACACTTAAGGTTTTCATGCGGTTTTCATCCCGATATTTATGATCCAAGTGCAGGCATTGTTTACATCTAAATAACTCACTTTTAGAAAACAAGGTCACGCTTCAAAGAATATAGGACTTGTAATGCATGGATGAAACCCTTGTTTTATATTACGTCGGATTATCTTCTATTCCCGTGGCAACGCGCGTGGACGGGTACGCTAGTGTTTGATATATCACTTTTTGCTTTTTAGCTTCAAGGATCATCGAATTCGAGAATACATGAGATTTATCTATCTAGATTCTAGATCTAGAAAAAAACTACATTAAGCAAGCCAGCCGTATGCTACATCTAGTTCTAGCTCTATCTAGATCCAGAATCATGCTAATAATTAGTTTCTATACTAGACTATTTCAGGCCTTTATTATCTCTATATATAAAAAGCAATGTATGTTTGTTTGTTTGTCTTTTATGCAATACTACACCTCTTATCACATCGCCGTGAAACTTTGGGAAGTTGTTGAGAATATTCCTGGGGAGGTTTCTGCGGAATTGTTTTTTTTTTAAATTCGCAGGGGTGGCGCATAGCGAGTAAGGGGTACTTCTATATTCAGCGGTAAAACTACAACATGCTTCTAAAAATAACTTTGTAACGCGAGGAAATCCTTCTGTACAGTTTCGTCACCTTGCGAAAGATGAAAAAATAACTTTTTGAATATGAGGAGCCTACTGTAGAGTTTCGTAACTTTGCGAAAGATGCAATAAGCATCTATTATTAGACAATCCAGTCAGAAATTGAGATCGAGCATCTAATAATAGACCATTAGTAACGCTAGCATATTGCATCAGCCACACTGATGTTTAAAACACGTCAAATAATTTTTTTACGTGTTAAAGAAAAAACTCCTGTTCATTAGTGTCACTTTAGCAAATGACGAAATCTGCATCATTATTAACCGGATGCTATTTGGCACGATGGCGAGGTTAGTTTTAAGGAGCCATGGGTCGTACGCCGCGCCTATGTGGTAGTGTAATCGGGGGGTGGGGCCCTGAGAGCGCCTCTCTACGTCTCGACACATGGGCGGTCACCGAAGTGTGTTCTACCATATTATTTCGGTGAGTGATTAATTTACACTCAATGTTTTCATGCGGTAGTGTAGGTAAACCCGTGTTCCGATATTTATGATCCAGGCGCAGGCTTTGTTTACATTTAAATAACTCACTTTCAGAAAAGACGGTCACGCTTCTAAGAACATATGATTGGTAACGCGTTGGTGAAATCCTTCTAATACATTTCGTCAAACTTTCTTCTATCCCCTCGGCAACGCGCGGGGCACGGGTACGCTAGTTTTATATAAATCTTTGTTTGTTTAACTATGGAACTAGTTAATTTGGGATAAAATTTAATTTGAAATAATACTAGGGCCTATTCGCGTAACTTTAGTTTGTTACGCGGACTCTCTATATACTATACCACTAAGTTTGCTTTTAATAGGAACTTCCCAGATAGCTTTTGAGTTGATAGTAAAATAGTAACTATGCGGATGGTACGGGTTTGAGACACATCATGTCAATGTTATTATTTTTTTGCAATGTTTTAAAATATATGAATGATAAAGTTGCCTATCGGAACTTGGCTGGACACAGGGCAGGTGAAATGGAATTCACATGTTTCTTTGTGCTCAGCATATGAAAGGATAGTGTGTTCAGACCCATTCTTAGCCGAAATCGGTGTTTTAAAAGACAAAAACATTTCTGAGTTGGCGGAACACTGGGCATGTAAAGTAGAGTTGACCTTTTTTTGTGATCTCAGCATTTGAAGAGATATGGTGGTCAGACCCATGCTCAGCCGTAATAGGTGTTTTTAAAAGACAAAAAC